ATCTTCAAAAGTATGGTGCGAGCCAAAACCGAATAAATACGCACGTTTTTCCATGTATTTGTCCTGGATAAACGCCTAGTAAGGGTTGATCACCAAATTGACCTCATCCTTGTTTCAGTAAATGAGCCTGGTTATTTTCAATACTATTTTGCTTTTAGCAGAATCAACAAGAAGAAAACAAAGTTACTGCTACAGACGAGGAGAAACATTAGTATCGAGACAGCGACAAATGACAACATAGAAGCGGTACCTCACTTATACTTTGGTGTAGAATTATTTGGGCTGGGTACAGAGGAAGGAGAAGTCAGAAGAATGTTACGTGGCTTTTTTTGCCAAACTATGATTACTCGATACAGAAAAAAATGCTTCAGTATCTGTTGACAAAAAAAATTATTGGTGGAGTAGATGGCCGCTTGTGCTCCAGCCGGCGGGGAATAAGTTTGTGCAAAAAAATATAGCCAATGAGCGCCACGTAGTTTAAAAATATTACATCCACCCGCACCAAATTATTGTTAAGTAAAACTACGAAACTTTGCTTCGACACCGAAATAACTTTAATTATAGAAAAATTAATCTTTACTAATAATAAAGAAATAATAAACAATTACGAAATAAAAAGAAAAAGAAACAAACTCGTTTTACTACGACGGCGCACCAGAAAGCGGTAAAAAAAGAATAGATAACAAAGATTCTAACAAAGACTGCCATGGAAAAACAAAATTGCTTTCCTGTCAATGTTAATCTGTCAAACTGTAATTTAGTAAACTTAGGCCCAGTTTATTCACCTTTGGTTACATTTAACTAGTGGATATTTTCCATGGTTACTGTAATTTCATTTGCCATGATTGGCTATTTGACCAGTAACTATAGTTAATATCCGATAGTTAAATTTAACCAAAGGTGAATAAACTAGGCCTTAAAGCGTTTTTTTTTTAATACAATGTTAACATTAGAGGAAAAAGTTTACGTGGTTCAGTGTTATGGAACCGGGGAAAATCCGATAAACAAGAGTCGTTTCACCTATCCGGTGACACACTATATACCTATACTATATGCCAACGGTGGCCAAACTGCTTTTGCATACCTTTTTAATATACAGGGTATTTCAGGTTTTGTAGCAGGACTTTAACAGTCGATAGATCTTTTAAAATTAATACAAAAACTTCATATAAACATAGGTTGACAAACGCTTTGTTTTGAACATACAGGATGTTCAAATTAAATTTTTAAATTGGTTTTTATTTAATATTACACGTATATTTCAACCGATTCACTAATGTTTTAGTTTATTGTATCAAGTGTCAAATCACCAGTAGTTGTTGATCAGTGTTAAATTAATTTTTCTTATTCGTTAACGTGTTAAATTTAATGTTCTTGTTTATTAACATGGTAAATTCATTACTCCTTTTCATAATCGTGTTAAATTGTTTATGGGTTTGCAAACGGAAATTCAGCAGAAGTAGCCCTAGAGTATAGGAGAAGATATCCAAATAGAAGACATCCGCATCCTTCTGTGTTTATGAAAGTGCATAGGCAAATAGTTGAACAAGGGCTAAATAATGACAACGTTAGACTGCAAAGAAACTTTAGAAGAAGAATTTTGCGTGAGTTTGACAGAGACCCAACTGCGAGTGTTAGTAGAGTTACGAATGCCATACGAATTTCTAGGGCGCGTGTTTATCGCCTATCATAGACATGCTTATCATTTACAACCCTTGCAAGGATTGCAACCAGGCGATGAACAACGGCGTGTAACGTTTTGTCGGTGGATTGCTAAAGCATCAGTCAACAATCGAGATTTTGTAAATAATGTAATATGCAACGATGATTCGTTTTTCACAAGACGTCGGATTGTAAACTTTCACAATTTACATGTTTTGGTACCCCCACGCAATTCAGTCACGAAACTTCCAACATGAATTTAGTGTCAACGTCTGGGTAGGTGTTTATAATAATCAACTTTTCGGGCCATATTTTTCGCCACCACAACTAACCGCTGCGGCGTTCTTGTAGTTTTTGGTAGCTGAACATGCCAATATGTGGGATGACATTGGCTTAGCTTTAAGAAGAAAGGCCTGGTTTCAACTTGATGATTGTGCAGCTTATCATGGTAGGGTGGTAAGAAATTAGCTAGACAACCATTTTCCTGCAAGATAGATTGGTCGAACTGGACCAGTCGCATGTCCCCACGATCTGCAGATCTTAATGCGAAAAAATGGAAAATTGTATGAGACACCTGTTCCCACAAGGGATGAACTTTTAATAGGATTAGGAATCCTTGTAATGATATAAGGCTGTTCTTAAATACCATTACTCGATCAGTAATTCGTCTGTTAGAATTATGCAAGCAAAATTTTTACCTTTTCAACAATTTCTTTAATTTTTTTCTTTTATTATTTAGATTAAAAAACATTAATAAACTAAAACATTAGTTAATTTACCTACTTTGTTTCCATGGCACACATTATTTTAACTATCTTTAACAATCCTCTAAAAACATTGGTCTGTATCGAATAATAAAAAGCGGATTATCTTGAAAACGATAAACTTTAGCGCATTTTGATAAGAGTACCCTTTTTGCTTAAATAGTACAGAGAATTAGAATTTTTATTCAAAAAGCCAAAAAGTATACCGTCAGAAAAGTTATTGTTATTTTAATCCCTAAAGAATGCTAAAGAAGGCTATAGTAACACAGACACCATAATCGTCTTTCTCATGCCAAAAAACCTCCGTATACCAAATTTGAAAAGAATCGGTTGAAATACACGTGTAATATAGAATAAAAATCAATTTAAAAATTTAATTTGAACACCTGTATATCCAAAACAAAGCGTTCGTCGACCTATGTTTATATAAAGTTTTTGTGTTAATTTTAAAAAATCTATCGACTGTTAAAGTCCTGCTACAAAAAACTTAAACACCCTGTATACGTATTTAATTGCGGCTCGTAAAAAAATTTCAAATTTTGAAAAATGGCTCGGACTATCAAGGAGCTTGGCCTCCTCTGCTATATGCTACCTTGGGTTTACAAGATTTCCTTCACTCTCTATTTACCTTGAACGATGTCCTCTGATTCTATCATACCAATTATTCTCTGTATTTGACTATAGCTAATTGTAAGATCCAAAAATCATTGTATTGGATGTTGCCTTTTTCTAACATCTTGAATTTATTATATTGTATAACATTTGCCTGTAGAGCTAGAAAATACGAATCTAATAATACCCTTACACAACAATCCTTTTTTGGAAGCAAAACTAACCTTACATAACATTCTTACACGGTATAATTGACATTTTTAAAGAAAAAGAACCTTACTCAACATTCCGTTGATGTAAATAAAACTAACCGAGCACAACATTCATAAAATTAGAAAGTTATAAAAATATGCATTCTAAATAGGAGGTTATACATATGTATCTGTATTGGGGATAGCAAATTTAAATAAAGCTATTGTTAAATATTAAATCTATAGTGTTATCATGTCTTTGTGACATCTTAAATTGTAAAATAGCTATTGATTTCTCCAGATTCATCATATAAAATTGAATAATTAAAAGGGAGGGTCATTACGATGAAGAATAATTTATTGAATTCTGTGCTACATATGTGACGGCAAGACGGCATGTTGCAGAGACCTCTCTCTTGTGTCCGAAGATGACAAGATTGTCGAAACACATGTAACTCATAAAATTAAATATATTTACTGGTTCATCGTTTAAGGCCATCCAGTTTGGTTTTTATTTTTCCCTTATACATTTTCCGATGAATTTGGAGAAAGAATTGTATTACCTAATCTTTCAAATAAGGTTCACCTAAAGACAAAATTAAACAAACAAATTTATTTATTATTAATTTTATAGCATTATTTTCTTAAAACTAAGGCAAATGCACAAGTTATTTGCCGTCGGCACTAATACAAGCTCTGCATCGTCACAGAAAAGATCTTTTTACTAGTTGTGCAAATCTCTTTGCATTTATTTCTTCTGCTGCTGTATAAATGTTGTGGCTCAATTCGCCAAAATTTTTAATCGGTTTTTAATACACTGTTTCTTTTATGCAATCCTAATAAAAAAATCAAGGGGATTTAGACCCACAGAATGAGGAGACCACGTAATCGAAACACGATGCCCAATCCATCTTTCTGGGTATTCTGTATGCAATCCCGTACAGGACAAGCATAATGAGCAGGGCAACCATCTTGTTGAAACCACATTTCTGTGTAGATATTGAGTGGTACATTTTCTAACTAAGTTGTTGAATCATTTTGGAGGAAATACAAATAACATACGAAAGTATGAATTTTTTAAATAACGCGTTTTTTGCAGAAAAACAGGCAATAATATTTTTTAGGAAAAGAAAAATGGCAAGTGTTATACCATTTTGGAATCTTGACTAAACAGGCCATCCTTTAAAATAACTTGCCAAGGGTGTTATACTACTCCTTTGTTTAGAAATCGTGTGTCAAACTTAATAGACATAAATTCTTTCAACCTTATCTCAATCAAACTAATACTTTTTTTGCAAAACTAACGACTTTTGTTGTTCGATTTGTGACTGCTATAGTAGCATGATTCATTAGGAATACATTATTAAAAAAATCACTATTAAATTGAGAACATTTCTGACCGTAGTACCTAAAGATATGATGTACGGGGACGATTTTTAACATTTTCAAAAATGTGTGTATTACCACTTAACTAAGAGACATAGAATTTTTTTCTTATTTTTACCAGAACAGGTATGGGTTGGCCTCCTACCCGGTGCCCGCTTAACGTTGAGTTTCGGGACAGTCTGTATGTAGCACCGAATTCAATAAATTATTCTTCATCATAACCACCCTGCCTTTTAATTATTCAATCTTAAATTGTAACTGGAGTATAAGTTTTAACCACGCAATATTATAGTGACACTTAATTAAAATAAGATAAAAATAAAAAGTTTGTGTGTAAAGGAGGAATATAACAATTTGTTCGCAATTGATTAAATTAAATCAATAATTTTTTTTTCAAACATATATATTTATAAATCCACACAATTCTTCAAAAAAATACAAAATATCAACTCAACAACACCATTTCTTTGCTGTCTCCTTTACTTACTTTTCCCAATTTTCCTTTCATTTTTATAATTTCATTCTCCATCAAACAAATTTTCCCCAAATACTCCATCCCAGATCATTTTATATCAATTAATCTCATTTTCTACCTCATTTTTTATGATTATTCCTCGGAAGCTTTTACAAAGTCGTTATTATTAGTCTCGTCTCCAATTTGTTGATGTTCCTTCTTACAAATTTCATTTTAATCTTAACTCTGATTTTTTTTTCTAATTTATTTGGTCCAATTCTTCTTCTGTCTTTTTTTATTAATTAATTATCTGTCCTCGATTTTCATTGCAACTTATAACTTTGTCATTTTTAAATCATTATCTTATCATTTTCAGTTTCACACTTTTTATTAATTACTTTTTTCTCATTCCAAATTAAAAATCCCCATTGCAATTTCTTGCAGCCACCCCACCCCATTCGACCCACCTCCACCCTTCGCCCCCAAATTCGCGAACTCCTTCAAAATAACACTCCTCATATCCCCCATGAACCCGCCACCGCCCGCATTTTTACAATTAATTCCTGCTTTTTCAGCAAATTCCTTCACTTTTTTAACAACACAAAGTAATGTTACTCGAGCGCTTGGATTCACTGTTGGTGGTAAATGGTGGTATAAAATGTTATAGAGGACTGTAGCGACCATTTGGACGTGTTCCTCGATAAAAATCGTTCTATCTTCGTAGTTCAAACCATCTTCCAATCGCCATAATAATTTTTTGAAATGATTTAAAGTCATTTTTTGAAACTGATGAGGTTCGTTGTAGCCATTAGACGAAGAACAATTTGTAGTGGGGTTAGGGCTAAAAACGAGGAGTTCTTTGGTTTTGATTTGGTTTGGGGTTGGTTGACTGGATGGAAAAAATCCGGTTTGGAATAAGTTTTGATGGAGATTTGAAGGAAAATAATTTTGTTGTTGGTGATTATTGGGTTGAAGATTTAATTGTTGAAGATTTGTATGGATTTTGTTGGTGAATAATAATTGGTGACTTTGTTGTCGGGAATTGGATAAAATCCAAGAAATAAAGAGGGGAATGGAAATTTTTGGGGGGAGAATGTTGGTGCAACATTCCAAAATTTCATCTTTGGCTTTTTCCGAGATTATTGGCAGGTCGGAATCGAACCTGAACAATTTAATTTATCTTTATATATTATGCACAAAAATGTAATAAAAAATTACTAACCTTAAATAGATTTGTTGCGACCCTGAAGTGTCTCTCAAACCATGTACTTTAGGAGCTAATTCACTCATTGCATTTCTAACATCCTCATCATCATCATCTAACAGAAACATCACCATCTCCCATAAATGTATCACATCGTAATTATTCCTAAAAAACTCTTTCTCCATAAATATTCGTCGATTAGCAACGAAAAATCTTGCAACCGCAATCTTTAAGTGACTCGGACTTGTTTCTGAAACTCCGTAAGCCAAACATTTGTACACCATTGATAAATTCAAACTTTTCAATTCGTCCAAACTCAAATTAGCCAAAAAATTCGAAACGCACCCCAAAGCGGGTGTAAATAACTCCACCTTTTCCTCCAAATCGCAAAACCCCAATAAAAATTCCAAAACTTCCGCCCGAGTTCGTTTCAATTTTTCCATTAAACACGGATAATTTTGTAGCGCTAACAACATACTTCGTACCAAATCGTGGTTTTTTAACATTCTCCGTTTAATTTTTGCATAGAAAAAATGAAAACTTTTATGAAAACTTTCTAAAACGTATTCTTTCAGTCCTAAATCCATGAGTTTTATTAAATTCTTTTCACGTTCGGCGATTTCGATCGTTTCCGTTTCGTAAAGACTGTTCAAAAAGTATTTTGGGTGATCAAAATATAAATAACCTATGTAATTAAAACAGTATTCGACGATTTCTTCTTTTGAACTGGTCAGACCGCTTAAAATCAATTCTTTTAAGTATAACGATTTGAAGTAGTGGTCGGAAATGTATAGGTTTTGAACGATATGTGCATGTAAATTTAATCGGGCTACTGATAATTTTTTTCTGGCTGTCGAATGACGATGGTTGTTTAAATTGTCGGGGTTATTTTCGGTTATTGATTGGTAAATAAGGATTTTTACGAATTGGGTGAAGATGTGGGCTCCTTGACAGTTTTTTATGAAGCTAAATTAAAAAGAAATTAATTAAATTGCGCCAAAATCAATGTGAATAAGAACTTACACCGTTGTTAATAAGGTCAGCATGTCATAATAATTTGCAACTGTGAAATGACTTGTTAATCTTCCAGCGGATATCGGTATCCAAAACGTTCCCTCGATTATCTCTGGAACGTTTAATTGACTATGACCTTTATTCAACGATCTCAACAAACAAATTATCTAAAATAAATAGCATTAAATAAAATTTGTAAACCCAAATAAACAATAATTACTTGAGAAATCGTTCCTTGACAATAATTATCGCTTAATGTCACATCCGAAAGTTTTATCAGCAACTTCTTCACATAATCCACTACTTCCAAGTTCGGGATTAACGAAGCTGAAGCTTGAGCCGCCAACTCCCGGATGTTATAAACAGGACTTTGCAAACATTTTGTCACATATTCAATGTATTTCCCCAACTAAAAACAATTAATTAATTAATATAATAATAAATTGCTTTATTGTTCTCAAAATATAAAGTGATACAAAGAAAATCATTGTAAAAGAAAATAATAGCAGAAAAAAAATAAATAGAAAACTAAATTAAATAATTACCAATAATAATAGAGAAAAAATCATACATGAGAACAATCTTATGGCATGGTTCAAATCGTGTTGTTCTTCTACCATACCATAGAAAGTTTAAATATTAACAAAATGCGGATTAACTTCTGGTGAAAACCAAACAGTAAGCGTATATAGGAATTTTGAGTTTTTTTAATTTTATCTTTTTACAGAAATCTGCATAGTTAAAAAGTGAGAGGACCAGACTTTCACAGAGATATTTCCTTGTTTTATGGTTCAAATAATGTCTGTTCGAGTAGATAACCTTCAAACTCCCATACGCCCTTTGTATGCATTTGTTGATATGAGCATTAAAAGTCAAATTCTCATCTAATGAGACACCAAATAGATAGTTCACAATAGATGAAGATTATCAGCAACTTGCTGTCTGAGGTGCTTCGGACCAAAAATAATGACAAGAGACTTACTTTGGTATATATGAAGCCCATGGCGGTTGGAAATATCACATAAAACTTGCAAATCTCTATTTATATCTATACCTGCTTTAACCACCTCAGACGGAGAGAAGGAATAATACAACAGAGTGTCGTCTGCGTAAAAGTGCGCCTTACAATGTGAAATGGATTTGATAAATTTTGATGTGTATAATGCATAGAAAGTAGGCGAAATAATCTCGTTTCCAGAAAATCAGAGTAATCAACTTCCACCGATACTGCCTGTTTTCAACCTGTTTTTTTTTAACCTGTTAAAAAATCATTTAATAACTTTTTGTATTATGTTCAAAACCAATATAACCTAGTATTACTGTGAATGTTACGTGATCAACTGTATCAAATGCCTTGGAATAATCCAGCAAACAGACTACCGTCATCCTACCTCTATCATTCTCCCGCAATCTATCATCGATAATGTGAATTAGTACTGTAGCATAACTAAATCCACGTCTAAATAATATAATTCGTTAAACCTGACGGGTTTATAATAAAACCCGTCAGGTTTAACGAATATTATTATCTTCCACATAACTGCTTATTTGTTCAAATAAAATTCGCTCCATAACCTTCGACAACACTGGCAGCGCACATATTGACCTCAGATCACTTAAAGGAAGTTGGTGCGTTCGATTTAGACAAGGACTTTATCAAAGCTTTTTTCCAGATAATAGGAAATACACCACTAAGAATACAAGTATTAATGAGATTACAAATGTACGGGTGTAATATGGGTGTAACATATCCAGAAGCTTTGCTTTTAATAGTGCTGATAACTTTTTCAATTTGGAACTCATCAACAGTGTGAAAACTAAAGGTTAAATCATTTAGTTTACTGCTGTTATAGAAGTTAAGTAAATCAAGATCAGGACCCTGACTTCTAGGTATTGCGTTGACAAAAAAGTTATTAATAGTATTTGGGATACTAATGTGTTTAGGTATTGAAATATTATTTCTTTTAAACATTCCAGCATTTCTGTTATTCTGTTATTACCTTCCAACTGTTATTTGTAATTCCTAATTGAGATTCAAAGTTCTTTACGTTCTAGAATCATTGATTTATTAACCAAATTACGCAATGATTTGTAATAATCCCATTCAGCAGATGTTTTATTTGACTGATAATTTATAAAGACTTTATCTCTTAAGCTTTGCATAAATTTTATATTCTGTGTTATCCAACATACTTACTTTGACGGGTGCGTGGAGATTAAAGTATTAGTTATCTGTTCCATTAAGAATTCGACTTTAGCGTTAGTCTCTTTTATGTTAAAGATATAAAAAAAGGGAACTTGCCAAAGATTTTTTAAAAAAGTCTCGTAATGACAGTTTTCGAATGACCTGGCTATATTTTGAAAGCTTGATTTCGTAAATAATAAATGTAAAAAATATCAATTAATGTAGAAATTCGGCTCATCACCCTTATGGGGTCATTTATAAGCTGTCAATCACAAATATCTGTTAAAGCCATGGTTGACACGTTGCCCGGCATTAACAAATTAATATTCAAATCACCAATAAACACAACTGTGTCTACTTTCGGCACCACATTTCCGAACATAGTCTCCAACCCAGTTAAGAATGATCTATAGAAAAAAATGCGGAACCACTCAAGCGAAATGATAACCATAGCTGTTCGATTACATCAGTAGTATCAAGCACTCTATATTTAATAAAGCTATATATTTAGTGATATATTTAATGATCACCGTTGGTCTGAGGATAATCCGAGTGCCAGTGTTGAACCAAATTTTCAGGTAAAATTCTCTGTGAATGTAAGGTGTGGAATGATTGGCAATTACTTAAATGGGCCTTTCGTACTACCCGAGCGTCTAACAGCGGACAGATATTTAAAGTTCTTGCGCAATGAGCTTCCAATACTGTTAGAACATATTCCTTTAGCTACCAGAGCCAATATGTTCACTACGGTCGTCAAGTGACGCAATATCTGAACCAAACAAGAGATCAGCCAAGTGCATCGAGTTAGGCGGTGAGATATTCGAACCCTTCCTTTAAAGTCCGAATTTCGATATTTTATGTACAGGGTGGGCAAATTTGGGTGTTATTATAGGCTATCTCAGAAACTGTAAGAGATACAAAAAAAGTAGGTGCCATGTCCCGGTCTCCTTTTTCGAGACTATTCCAATCCCGCAAACACACAACCTCTATCTTCTTTTGTTTTTAAGTTATAGCCAAAAAGAATCAAATTTTCGTGATTTCAAAAAATGCTCATATTTCGTTTATTTTTCAATTTAGAGAAATGGGGTTGTTACGTTCTTAAGACACTTTTTTAAGTAGAATATACTGCCGTTGAAAAATTTTAAATATACTTGATAATTTTTGAGATACAACACAAAGTTGTGTTTTTTTAAATACAAACTATACTTGATTATAATGTTACTGAAAAGAGCATACTTTTAGCTTTCCAATGATGTATCGCATATATGGTGTCTTTGCAGAAAATAAGCGTTAATTTTCAATTTCAAAATAGTAAGCGCCAAACTATTCAAAATTTTGATTATAGTAGGCGGGTCCGGACAATAAATACTACCTAGTGGCTATAATATATAGTTTTGCACGAATATGACAGAATAAAGGTGGTTTTGTACTATTATTCAGGACAAAGTTGGTTTTGTACCAACGAATAAAAACTTTGAATAGTTAATTTAAATTACTCAACATCTTATCCCTAACTCTGTTCACCAATAAAAAAATGGTTAGCAAGTAAAGTTTGTTTATTAAAAATACAAGAAATGTTTTAATTAATGAATAATTAAATATGGACAACTTCAGGAACTAAACAGTCACAAACTGTCATCTTCTTCTACTAAACTTACTGGTTGTAAGGTTAGAACAATTCGGCATCAATGAATGAAATCTTCGGTAGTATTTTCCCAGTTTTCCCCAAACATAAGATTTAGAAGTTTTTTGATATCAGCAATCTTTTCGTTTGAAATTGGGTAAGGTAGAGGAAAATTAGGGATCATAAACTGGGAGCGAACTTTCCATTGAAACACCGTTTCAATGGAAAGACCCGGGGATGTGAAGACTTATGTATCATCTTCAAAGGGGACTCCAATATATTCTATATTTAATTTTATCGTTTTATTTAAAGATAATGCGGAACTTCTTAAACGGGAAACTCGTTTCGTAAAATTCATGAATGAAATGACAAGTAAACTCACGTTGCTATAGTAACTAAGTAGCATTTAGCGTTTTCCTCGCCTACTATAATTAAAAATTTGAATTTTAATCTTTAATATTTTAGAATTGAAAAATAACGCTTATTTTCTGCAGATACATCATGCGTGCGATACATCATTGGAAAGCTGAAAATATGCTCCGTTCAATAACATCATAATCAGCTATAGTTTGTATTTAAAAAAAATACAATTTATGTTATATCTCAAAAATTATCAACTATGTTTAAAGTTTTTCAACGAGAGTATATTCTACTCAAAAAAATGCCTGTAGAATGTATTAACCCGATTTCTCTAATTTCAAAAATAAACGAAATATGAGCATTTTTTGAAATCGCTAAAATTTGTCTTTTCGGCTATAACTTAAAAACAAAAGAAGATAGAGATTTGGTCTTTGCGGGATTGGATTAGTCTCGGAAAAAGAGACCGAGACATGGCACCTACTTTTTTCGTATCACTTATAGTTTCTGAGATAGCCTATAATAACACCCAAATTTGCCCACCCTGTACACATTTAAATAAATCAGTTTATGTATTAACTGGCTGTATCTCAGTCACCTTTGAAAATTGAGCACATGTTTTTAGGAATTTTTCTGTTTAAAATGAACAAATCTAGAGTCTATTCAAATCCAAGGCGAACCAAAACAAAAGCCGCTAGATGCGTGATTAGTCCTTTGCAGGTGGAGAATACGTTTCTTATTCCTAGGACGTGACTCGTAACTCGTGCGTGACGAATTTCAAGCAAAATTTTCGTCAGGGGCGCATTCTGCTCATCACGGTAGTTGTTAGCAGTGAGGAAAAGGAAAGTGCAGTGTTTTATTATTTTTTTATTGTTGTTGTTAATTGTTGTTATTAAGATTCAATTAAGTACGATGTCTAGCACAGACGAAGCTGAACATTTTGAGGCCTTAAGTCCAACTAAAAAACAACCCCTCTAATACGACCCTATTCAATGTTTTCGTACTATCACGTGATCAGTTTGTGAACAGTGCATGATTGTGTTTATATTTAGTTCGTCTTGGATTTAACTTGACTTTATAACATATTAACGTCTGTACTATCCATCATGTAACACCCTGTATATACAGGCAGGATGAGTGAGTTATTAGTATTCTGGCGGTCGATAGCTACCAAATCATTTGAGATAGAAAAAAATGTTTTAAACAAAAGTTGTTTAACTCACTACTTTGTGTAACGTCAAATTCTTTTCCTTTATACAGGGTGTTGCATTTAGGCGTGACGGTGCAGAATGTACCCTGTATATTTTATCATATGTACAACATATGAACATATCATATGAATACAACTAAAATTGTTTATACAACCGTATATGTTGCAAACTCACAGCGTTAATAATAGTTCCTGGGATATTCAATCGTTTTTCCAAAATATGCCCGTTGCAGGTTCTTTTTAAAAACGATGTAAATATCACGTTAAACTATGTCAGATAATAGTCAAAGATACAAGTCAAAAGATACACTATACAGCGTGTTCATAAAACATTGTAAATTTTGATGTTTTTCAAATGCCTTTTTCTTTAGTGTTTTAAATGGAACATTCTGTATATTATATGCTGAATGAATTGTCCATCAAGTTAGCTTTAATTAATGTTAAATATGTCATATATCTAACGTTAGTAATTTTCCTGATATTTAGAATTTAAAGAAATATGTGTACCTAATGAAATATGCCATTATTGTACTTAATATTTCCTTTTTGTCCATTTTTGTCAGTTTTTTTGTTTTTTCTTCTTTGTTTGTCTCTCATTTGTAAACAGTACTTTAAGTAATCTTCTTAGCATTTATTAAACAATAAATCCCTTTCTTTACTCAGTAAACTATTGGAAGCAAATGCAGAAACAAACTATAAACATTTCCTAAAGATTGCACAACAAGTAGCTATTCATTCAATTAATAGGCAAGCCGACTTAAAACATGAACATCAATAATGTTAAAATATTAAGTTAGTTTTCATAAAACGAAATGCAAAATATTATTAATATTGTAAATTAAATTAATAAAATTTATATTTTGCATTATGCAAAATATTATTTTTGAAGAACAAGAGAAAACTGACATAAATAGACAGAATGTAATATTAAACATATTTTTATTACATTTTTCTTTAAATTGTAAATATCACGCAGACTACTAAAATTGGACATATGATATACTTAACATAAATTAAAGGGAACTTGATGGGCAAAATTTACAGCGTTTTATGAACGCACTGTATAATGTATCTAACATCTTTGGATACTATCATCTACTACAGGCTTTGACTATTATCTGACACAATTTAAAGGCATAATTTTTAAAAAGATCCTGTGACGGGCATGTTTGGGAAAATTGAATATCTCAGAAAGTATTAACGGTGTGCGTTTGCAACATATACAGTTGGATAACAAAATTTAGTTGTATTCATATTATAGTAAAATATACAGGACGTTCTAATTAAAAAGTTTACATGCTTACCATTACGCCTAAATGCAACACCCTTTATAAAGGAAAATAATTTTACGTTATAGAAAGTGGTGAGTTAAACAACATTTGTCTAAAAAACATTTTTCTATCTCAAATGATTTAGTATCTATTAACCCTGTATATAAATAATATTCAAAAAGAGAGAAAAACAAAATTAAATAAACAAAGCATAAAAAAAGATTAATGCACCACAAATACACCAACCTGAGTTTCTTCTTCAGTATTACACGGATATAGACGTTCTAAAATCAATAGAACCGGATGTAACACAGTCACGTTTCGATTATTAACAGTTCCATCTTTTAAATAACCCAAAAAGCACTCGTACAGCTCGGGGTATCGCATAAAAAACACTTTCGTCGACATTTTATTTTTATGATTAATCTCCAACTCTTTACTCCTTTGTACACCAAAAATCCTTTGCATTAACGACGCTATTAAAATAAACGCCGAATTTCTTACCCCCCATTTATCGCTACCAAACGCTTTCAACGCGACTTGAACTCCTTCCGCAATGTAAGTTGTTACAATTTCTCCCAAAAGATGGTGTCGATATAACGATTTTAAAATGTTCATCGCGTGGATTTTTGATAAAGAAGATGATGTAGGTATTAATGAGGATTCCTCACTTTTCTCGTTCAATTCAAATTTTTCTTCATTTTCATCGCGAGTTATTTTTAAAAGTGTTTTTATACAATAATGAAACGTCTCATTGTTAGAACCTTTCGGTTCAGTGACTAAAATATCAACAACCATAAATGGAAGTCCCGCGCTTCTCCTATTCGGGCATAGTTTGTGTAAAACTAATTGATCTTCCCCTCTTAAAACAACGAAAATATCATCCAAATACTTCTTAGGCCAATTAGAATATGGCGACCACGATGGTTGTCGCCATAAAAATTCACAAAATCTTGAGAACCCCACCGAAGCTTGTTCGTAAGCACCTCGATGTTTGGTTTCTCTAAAAACTTGAATAAAATAATCTTCAATTTTTAATAAAAGTTCGTCTGAAAGAACTTCTTCATTGGTAATTGGGTCGATTAAGGGAGCTCTTAATGTAAGTTCGCCTAAAAGTAGCGAGACTTCTTTGATGGATCGCCAAGCGTAGACGAGGATCATTTGGGGGGAAACGTTTTGTTGAGGGGAAGGTTTTTTGCGTTTTGCTTGTTGGTCTTGGTTATTTTCGGCTTTTTGGTGATTATCTTGAGGTTTATTAGGGATGTAACCTTCTGGGGAATTGTTATTTACGATTGGTGCAACAACTTCGCCTATTTTTCGGCAAGTTTCGACGATTTGGTGAGCGAGAGATGTCCATTGTTTACAGTTGCTATAAAATAAAAATGTAAAAAACTTTTTAGATTAAAGAAAAAAAAATACCTTAAGTCATTATTCTCTAAAATATTCCTCACACACATTAAATCCCCATAAAATGCTTCATCTCTCACCGATCTAAATAAATCGGTTTTTGCTAAACTAGTCGCCATACTCGCTCGATTCAAAAACACCTTCATCGCCATCGCGTATAAATCTTCCGTTTCCGGTCGGCGGTACAACTCGATCAAAGTTTCTTTTGCAAACGGAACCATCAGGTACAATTGTAACATATATCCGGCGGCTGTCACTTTATCAGGCTTTAAACTGGACGCGTTTTGTATTGTTTGTCTTAAAAATAACAAACCAGATTTTTTCTATAACAAATTCAAAAATTAATTAATTAATTAAAATAATTTTTCAACTTACATTAAAATGTTCCTTAATGGGAAACTCCATCTTCTTCAAAATCAAAAACGCCATTTTTATATTCGTCTCATACGAGTCCTCTAAAAGCTCGATTAAAAATTGCGTAAATTCCGGTTTCCACAGTTTTCTAATTTCCTCCTCCTCAACGCATTTCTCAGTGATCACAAACAGCACCAATTCTAAACAAACCGATCTTCTTTGGTAATTAAACCCGGTTTGAAATCCTGGACATAAATACTTTTGAAACATCAACATAAAAAACTGCCGTGTATCAACATCTTGTTCTTTTAAAATTTCCAATTCTTTCAAAAAATTCATCTTCCGATTTTCATTCAAATCAACGTCGGTGGTGTTTTCGTTTCGATTGAAATTTTCGATTTTTGTTGTTAAGTTGTTTAAATTTCGGTTTAGAACTGAAAGGGTATCTCGAATTCTGATAAAAACTTTTTTGTACAAACCAATCAATTGCTGGCGAATACTTGGGCTTTGAGTAGTTACGTTATAATGAAAAAATTTCTTCAAAAACGCCAACTCCCATAACGAGAACACCTCGCGACTTTTTTGACTTTCAACGATTAATCCTAAAACGTGAATTCGAATTTCATCGTTTTGATGAACCATCATCAACTCTAAAAATTCGTATTCAACGATATTTCTCCAATATTTCTTATCAATTTTCTCCTGAGAATTATTAAATAAAGTATTCGGTATTTTTAAACCATTTTGTCGCGAAGTCCTCAAACACCTCAATAAAGCACCCAATTCGTTTGAACCGCTGTACCATTGGTAATGCATTATCGATTTTAAAACCATCGGTTCAATTTTATAAGCAGAAACTAATAATCTTTGATAAAAAGTTACTAAAACACCTTTAGCTTTCGTTAGAAGAGGTTTTATTAAATCCACCCATAATTCTAACCACTTATCTACATCGCGTTCTTCCGATTTGTGTTGGGCCATTAAAATTTCGTATGTGTTACAGATTTGGGGTGCGACAGCCGAATTTTGCATGTTGATCAGAAGGATGAATGGTAAATGGGAGAATTGTTCGAGAAGAAACGAACATCCAGTTTCTGTGCTCAAAATTGTTAACGTGACGTAATGGGTGCATCTGTTGACGAGAAGATCGATCATGTTGGTTAAGATTAGTTTTAGTAGTGTTTGGTAACCTGGAATAAAAATAAAAAAATTAAAATTAAACAATTTATTAAAATTATTCGATATATTTTTTAACAGATTAACAAACTTTTATTATATTTTTATTGACAATTAATAATCAATAAAATTCTCTTATTTTTGTTGTATAAACAACTCCAAAAACATAAATGCCATCTTGATTGGGATTTCTTTATAGATAAATGGAACATTTCGACACTCTCCCCTTAAGGCCAATCATAAGGCCATCAACTTTTCTAACTTTAGTTTTGGTAACGGTTTTATGAGCACGTCATTTCTTCATCATTTCTTCTGTTTGACAATATTTTAACTTGATAATGTTATCTTCCAAAGTTTTTCGTATGAAATGATATTGTATATCTGTTTAGTTTTACTATGGTTCTACTATAATAAACGTTGTATTTTACCAACTTTTGACAACTTTGATTATCATTGTAAAGGACGATTGGTTTTTTTGAATCGAATTTTAATTCCGATAAGAATTTTTTCTCATATAGTGCCTCTTTGGCAAGGTTTATATATTAAAGGTTGTCTAAGTTCCTATGCTGCAATACTTTGATTTTAGTTTGTGGGCGAGGGGCAAGAGCAGGAGTGTTTCGTGACGTAAGCGATCACGGATTGCGTACGCAACCTCACGGCCATGTGGTGCTCCATGCATTTGTTTAATTTGAATTGCTTGGCGGTATTACTTTCCACATGTGACGTAATGCGCAGTATGGTTGCGTACGAACCTAGACAACCTTTTATATATAAACCTTGCCTCTTTGGCCGCTTGGAGGCCATACACCTTAGAGTTTGCATGATGGTTTTAGCCTTGCATGTATAACCGACAGGTATAACCGAGTTTCATATTGTACACGTTATACTCATACACGTTAGGGTTTGCATGCACAGTTTTGCCATAAACTCTCAGTTAAAGACAGTTGGAGCTACGTGACGGTATGTGTAGGACAGTTATCTACACTACTGTGCACGGTATACCAAACTAACAATGGACGACGACGATCTGATAGCTGTACTTGGCTTAACACTTGTTCTACAGAATAGAAGAAGAAGAAGAGCTCGCTCGGAATGGTGTAAACGCTGCGCTGGTTATCGAAAAGAAAGCAGTTCTCGCAAGTAAATTTGTTAAATGAATTGAGATTTACACCAACAGATTACAAAAATTATTTACGAATGGATGAAAATCTTTATTTGAAACTGTGATCATTGATCACTCCGTTAATACAAAGATAAGGTACTGTTATGAGAAATGCAATATCAGCACATGAGAGACTAGCAGCAACATTAAGATTTCTTGCTATAGAAAGGACATACGAGTGTCTTAAAGTGTCATACGAGCGCGATGGTGCGTGCGCACGACCTTCCACCGTCGCAGACAATAAACTGAGAACTGAGAACAAACTGAGAAGTCTGAGAACTGTGCATGCAAGCTCGCCGGACGCCACACACGCCTGGTTATGCATGCGCGCAAACGTAACCGAGCGGCAGAAAATATAAATTTTGATATTTGTTTGGTTGCATGTACATGCGTCGATAACTGTAAAGTTTTATCACATACATGCTAGGGTTTGCCTGTCGGTTATGCATGTAAGGCTAAAACCATCCTGCAAACCCTTATGGAGGTGTATGGCCTCCATAAGGCTCATGTATTCGGCTTCCGTGATTGATAAAGCAACGGTCCTTTGTTTTTAAGTTTCTCACAAAGTTGATGCGTTTGCCATTCTAAATAGATAACCAGTATACGAGCGCCAATCTATAGATGATCCCCAATCCGGATCTGTATAACGTTCCATTTCTTTCCGTGAAGTTCTGTATGTTAGTTCCAAATTTATTGTTCCTTTTAAATACCTCAACACTCTTTTTGCGACAATCCAATGATTTTCGTTGTAATTTGTATTAAATTTACTTAAGAAGGTAATGCTAAATGTAATATCCGGTTTTGTACCAATTGATGCACACATTAAACTTCCGATCAAACTTTGATCAAACTTTGAAAAAGTATCCATCTTTTTCATTATTCCCTCGTTTTTTACTTCGGGTTTTTGTAATTTTGAATTTGGGTCTGACTTTTGAATTGGTGTAATGACTGGTTTGAGGTTTCCATACAAAGTCGCTGTAGAATTTCTTTTATATACTTCTTTTGTGAAATTTTGATCGTCGTCTCCCCCTTGATTTGGCTATGTGAGATTTCTAAACCGATACAGTAGTGTATTCTTTACAAGTCTTTCATTGCAAAACATTGAGCTAATTTCTTTTTGAAATTTTTTATTATGAAGGAAACTACAACAAATAGGTATGGGAATATTTATAGATAATTTGTAGAGAATTAAATTACCTTTCTGATAGGCTAAAAAAATATGGGGCGTTCCATTTAAAATTTTCTACTTTCTCGCCATTGAATATGGAGAAACGGTAATTTAATTTTTGACCACCCTGTATAACATACTCAGATACAACAAATAACAGTTTATTTGACAGCATCTCAGCTTCATGCTAATGCAGAGCTTTTTTGAATGAACGTTGGCTGAGATATGGGGTTTTAAAGACCATGGTGAAATTTGCCAAAAAAAGCTTAAAACTAAAATAACTCGAAAACGAAAAACGCTAGGTACCAATAACTTTAATCAAAGCCAACATATTTTTCTACGTACAACTAAAAGGTGTAATAAAAATTATAGCATTCCATTTAAAATAACGAAGTTATGGTCTACTTCCGGTAGACCGGAAGTTGCGGCCATCTTAAAAATATTTTAAATCAAAAGTTCCGAACGTCGCGAGACTGCTTGTGGAATGCTGCGAAGCGCTAATCGCCTACATCGACGATCAAGAGGAGGCTAAAGAATGCGGGACTCATAGGTCGACATCAAACAAGTTCCTGCTATTCGGAACTGATGGCATATCGTGGATACGCCGTCCTACGCGCACTAGCTTTGATCCCAAGTACCTGCTTTCCATGATGAAGCATAGTGGTGTGAGAGTGCTTCAGCGATGCTGGCACCGGCCCCCTGGTTCGTATTACGGGCACCATGGACCGCCACAAGTAAGGGACATTCTGCAAGATGACATGCTTCCATAAGTACGCAAAAACATGGGTCGGGGTTGGCTGTTCCAGCAGGACGATACTCCCAAGCACTCCACATCCGCCAAGGAGAAATTCCAAAATCTGCAATCAGTGTGGGCGAAGATCGACCAGCCCACTATCGATACATTGATCGACTCCATGCCCCGTAGATGCCAGGTACGCCCGTAGTTGCTCTACAAGGCTGATTGCTGTTCACAATTTTTATGTTGATATATCTTTAGTTATGATTTATTTTTGTTGACATCGACAACTTTGATTTTGTTGACATCAAAGTTGAAACGGATTCTTCTACACAAGTCTATGTCATGTGAAATACATTGGAAAAACTATAGTGAAAAAATTATCTGATTTCATAAAGTTTCCAATAATCCAGCCACATCTGTTAATTCTTCCATTTCTAAAGTAAACCCATCTTTAACGTGTTTCAAACGATTACTAGTTCCGCTTCGCAGAAATCTAACATATTCGTCGTGAAATCGTCGCGATATTAGGCATTCCCTTCGGCCGGTTATCCGGTATATATTATGGTTATAATTTCTGACACATTTCTGAAGTGATACCCTACATTGCCACATTATTGCGATATTTGAATAAAAATGAAATTAATAAGAAAGCTGATAAGATATGTTAACTTATTTGGATCCAAGATACAACATGAACTTTTTTGATGTTTAAATCAGCATCGAAGCAACTCCAAAAAGAGGATACTTTAATTAATAATTGGCGATATTTTTACAAGGATCCTTCAAGAAATGAATTTTATAGCAATTAAAATTGCAACATCGAAAATTTCATCAAAACTTCAAATATTGGTTTCTCAAAAACTAAGTTATTTCATTGGAAAGAGGACACTTTTATTAACATTTTGGGACATTTTTATACTCATATTCCAAGAAATCGATTTTATGCGAATTATTAGAATTTAATCTGCGAAAATTGCAAAATTCGAAAAAATTGTCGATTATTTCAAAAATATATTTCTCAAGAAATGAAAGTAATTTTTCAAAACGACTTTTTGCATTAAAAAGAGGATACTTTAGTTAGTAATTGGTAATATTTCCACAAGGATCCTTCAAGAAATTAATTTTACAGCGAATTTTGAAAATTATCGATAAAAATTGCAACATCGAAAATTTTATTAAAACTTCAAATAATGGTTTCTCAAAAACTAAAAGTTATTTTTCAAAACGGGTTGGTGAAAAGGGTACACTTTTAACATTTATGGAAATTTTCATACTCATATTCCAAGAACTGGATTTTATACGAATTTTTAAAACTTAATCAGCAAAAATTGCAAAATTCGAAAAAATTGTCGTTCATTTCAAAAATGTATTTCTCAAGAATTGAAAGTGATTTTTCAAAACGGCTTTTTGCATTAAGAAGAGGATACTTTAATTAATAATCGAAAATGGTAACAGCGACAGTTCTTTAGTAATGAATGTGATGATGAATTACAAGCGAAGAGAAGGAAACTAGACGAAACTGCAACAAGAGATTTTATATATCGTATTGGGATTGTTACAATGAGATTGCTAATGACAAACCTGATATAAATAAAGTTGTATTCAATGAAAAAAGCCCTATTGGGCTTGAACTTAATTATTATCTGCAGTGTCCAACACCTAAAAGAGATACTAATTCCTGTGAATGGTGGAGTACTAAGTAATAGGTTTTTAATATTCTATTACTTAGTACTAGTACTATTACCTATTACGTAGTTTTGACAATTATCCAGTATCCGGCCGAATTTTAAAAAATGGCTGGATACCGGATAGTTGCCAGATATCCGTTCCACCACTAATCATAACCTATTAAAATTATAGGAGATATTTTTTTTAACAGATTAACAAACTTTTATTATATTTTTATTGACAATTAATACATAATCAATAAAATTCTCTAAACTTCTAAAACATTAATGCCATCTTGATTGGGATTACTTTATAGATAAATGTAACATTTCAACATTTATGTTGTTTAATTAACAAGTAACTATTCTGATAACAGGCAAATTTGTAACAATTTCCAGTTCTACTTTTTCCTTAAAAATACTTGAGACACACTAATTTATTTATCTCTTCTAGTAGGGATAAATAAAGCAATTGTTATTAAAATAAACAAAAATCGAAGTTAACGCAAATAAAAATAATAAAACTCACCTTTCTTATAATGTTCATGAGCTAATCGAATCAAATTTTCAAAAATCGTCCGAGCTGATTGCCTGACAGTATCAATATAATGATCCAGATGGGTCCAAACGTACTCCAAAGCTTCGCTAAACATCGGCTCGATGTATCCGAGTGGTATCGTGTTAATCACCTTTGAAATCAAAATTAACGAACGACTCACTTCTAAAATTTGAGTCGATTTTCCTGTACATCGTTTCGCCGTATCCAATAATTCCCCAAACATAAACGAAATCACCGGCACCCCATCAATAGTCTCTTCACACAAAATACTTTGGGGCAATACATTTAAAATTCCCGAATAAAAATATAGGTTAGTTGTATGATTTTTTGGGAGCTTTTTCGAATTGAAGGCACTGGTCACGTCATTTTCAGGTTTTAAGAAGCTCAGACAAGGATTTGTTGTCTCCTAATTCATAATAATCATAAAAATAAATTATTTTAATCATTTTTAACTCACAATTCCATCAGAAGTTTTTTCTGGGATATGTATGACTCCAATAACCATTAAAACACCACAATTAGATTTTGTATCAAAATTAATATAATCATCTTTGATCACTTCGTAAGAACTCAACATTAAAGTTTTACAATAATTTGGTAAATCATCACTTAATTGGCATTGTTGTAAAATAGCAACTAATAATTTTGTTACATTGTTTATATAGTTTTGTGTTTCAAATCTTTTTGATTTATCACTGCAACAAAAATGCTTAATTTTGTGGAAAAAAAATGTATTTTAATTAAAAATACCTTAATCTTAACACCAATTTTGAAAAATAATCAATCATAAACCCAGTAACTGTTTTAATTGTATGAGAAATTGCTTCAATACCCAAAGGGAAATTAGCAAAACAATGCTGAAGTCCCAAAACCAACTCATTATGCTTTTGACAACTATCCGTATCTTTAATACAAGCCACCATTAGAGTATTGATGTTCCAACTCATCGCAATTTTCACTAATTCCACATTAAGCTGTGTTGAAAGCATTCGAGATATCGTTTTCCTTATTGGATGCTTTGAATCAACTGTTAAAAATAAGTAGGTTAAGAGGCAAGCCGCTAAATAGACATCAGCTGGTTTTAAATCATCTAAAGGTAACTAAAACAAAACGTTTTTAAGTAGCAGTTAGGATTTAGGTTATGTTATATTTTTTTATTTACTTCTTTGAGCACTTGTTGTAAGCTTTCAATTTTAGTACTTTTACGTAACTCTTGGATGGTCTCTTGTAAGCGAACATCTTTCGATTCGAAAGTGTTGGGGATATAAATCGGGGGCGAATTGGCGCCATCACCCCCGGGACCCCTTTTTGGTTTCATTTAATCGACTAAACGACGACGAGAATCCCTAACATTTGTGCTCTGCACCTAAAATTGAATCTCACCTAGAATTTAAATCGTCCAAAACGTTTATTTGCGACGCGGTTATGTGCATTGTGTGCGGTTTTAAATGTGGGTTGGCTTTAGAAACGGACATAACCTAAAAAATTCATTCTTTTTAGTGATTTTAACAGGGAATTTAATTTTTAATATAGAGTAAGTTTTCCCCTAGTTATAAAGAGCCATCTTTTGGTTTAATTAGTAACTAATATTCCTCAAATTGAATAAAAAGGAAATAAAATTAACATTTAAGCTACATTTGTTTTATTGGTTCAATATTTAATAATTTCAATCCAATATCCATAACCATTTTTAAAGTTTTCACTAAATAAATCTTAGCAAATAAAGCGGGGAATAAATGTTGCCGAGGATCCTAAAAAAATCAGCTTAAAAAAAAGTAATAAAGATTAATAACTCACCATAAGGATCTTAACTCGTCGATAATAACAACTAAAAACTGTGCAAAACCCAGATAAATGTTGTATCAAAAAGTGAGGTTGAATTTTATAATTATTTAAATGTTTGAAACAATTTTTTATGCAATCCGGAAATTGTAAAATGTAAACATAAAATAATTCCCACTCTTCGGGTTCGATTAAAAGTGAAAAATCAATTTCAGTAACTTCCGGTAAAGGCGGGTAAATATTTGAAATAACCTTGTCGTCAAAATCTTTTAATAATTTTGATAATCGTGCTGAATTATACAAAATAAAAGCTGAACCTAAAAATTTATTACTTTAAAATTATTAATATTAACAAATAAATAACAAAAAAACCTTTATTGCTTGAAATCGTAGGATCCTTTATATTTAGTGTAAGCGTACTTGAAATTTTATTTTGTAAAAGCTCCAAAGTAGCCGAAGCATGTCCTAGTTTTTCAAAAAATTCCCTCCATCCACTTTTTGAAGTAATTCTTAACCCATATTTGTGTTCCGAAATTAATCTCATGCGAATAATATGATTTCTAAAATTCTAACCTTAAATTTTTTATTTTTTAACAAAATTATCTTAAAAAAAAATACTCGATATACTCCTCGGCTGTTGTAACACGATCTCTTAAACCCTTTTCATTTAAAACCACTCCACATAAACATAAATTATGGTTATTACTTGAGTTTAATGAAAAAGTGATCATAAAGCATTCATTGTTGAGGTTATGTTCGTCATTGTAAACTATTCCATTACAAAAATTAATTAAATTTTGAGTTGTTCTCATAATTAATTTTATTCTTAATCCAGAGATATCACTAAGCTGTGTTGATTCAGATTTAAGAATAAATTTTGTTGGCTCTAATTGAAAAGAACCAAAACGTTCGTTTCCGTTAATTTCACTTAAACAATTTTGGTAACAATGACTTTTATTAAAAAATAAGTGGTAATTATCGTTTATTTTAATCCCATTTTGAAGCTTTAATTTATTATTTTCGTTCAGTTTAATAAAATCCGTTTCGTTTCGATCCAAATATTCATAAATGCATTTTAAATTCTCACTTTTTTCATGGATTAAAACTTTCCAATTCGATGCGATTAAGGGAAAACTTAAATCGCCAGATTTCACCAAGTTTTTTGTGTGTTTACGAATAATATTCGTATTCGTTCCATCGTTATTTGTTAAAAAAATATAGAGACTTTTTAAATAATCTTCTAAATAATTCATAGTTTGAGGTTAAAAAATGAGGTTATGTTTTGGAGTTGTATTGCCACATATTAAGCATGAAAAGTTCCTAAATTTAAAAATATAAACATTAACTCAACATTAAACAACAACTCAAAGATGCATGGTTTGGCATTGGACAATTTGGACAATTCGTCGTTTGTGGACGATGTTTGTGGAGCTGACAATGACATTATTTCTTCTGGAGAGGCTTTAGCGAAGTTCTAAAATGTCTCGCGCACCCAAAGCAAAAGCTAATCTGTGTAGTCATACATGAAAAGGAGTTGCAAATAGATTATAATTTTCTCACCATTCTAGAATCATGTCGTGTACAGTTGGTCATTTAAATGTGCGATCATTGCAGCCTCATTTTGAGAAAGGCTTCCCAGTAAACAAGAAACATCTGTGAAACATTTCAATTTTAACGTACAGTGAATTAAATGAAACATCTTAGAACTACGTTTCAAATACGTGACAGATACGACTTTCACGAAACGTATCTAAAGATATGTATCAAATACATTTCAATAGGAATATTTATGAAATATCATTAAAATATGTAGCATAAACATTTTATTTGGAACATTTCTTTACAAATGTGTCTGACCTACTTTATTTTTCAAATGGAGCACCCTGTATATTTTTACAAGTTTGGATTTGTCTGTTTTCAAGGCTTATGAATAACTTTACTTTTTGCAATTTAATTCAGCCGTTCTCGAGTTATTTGAATTTTTCTAGAAAAATCTGCTCCAGCAGACATTTGTTTAAAAAATCAGAGAACACTCGATTTTTGAGATATCAATTTAGGATTCAGAACATGCTTAAGCAACATGATGGAGTATGTTTTGGTGCCGAGAACGGCTGGCTAGATCGTTTGGTCACTTTACTATGGCACGTTAACTTTTCGAAATTTTGAAGTACTATAACTTCATTTTTTTAAATGGCACCACCCATATTTTATTACTTAGTCGTCGTCGGCGTCTCATTTTACATCTTTTATACTCTACAGACATGTTCTATACCTAACATTAATAGCTTAGGAAATAATTAGGGTTTTTTGAAAATTGCTCACATATCACATCGATATTAACTTAATGTGCCATGGAAAACAATTGTTTAATGACTTATTGACAAACGTCAAAGTCTGATTTACGTTGTTTGATGCTTGTGAGTCTAAAAAACCAGTTAAAATGGATATTAATGACGTAAATAATGTTTATAGAAATGAAGAAATCCTTAATTTATTTTTTGTGCAAGGAAAGTGCGACAAAGTTGCAGAATGTTTAAAAGAAAAGGTAAATTTAGAAGAATAGAATCTTTTTGCATGTTGGACCAATTAATCACGTGTTAAACTGACCAAAAAAGGTAGTAGCTAATGCAGCGGAAGAGGGGAATACCTTGGCTTATTTCGAGCCCAGCTCCAACGCCTCAATTCGAGCCGCCAAAGAAGATCTGGGAATAAACTACCAACCAGCATCATTTACTTAACTTTGACCACGGACTAAATAATAGTACAGAAATTTCATGGCCATATCAACTCGACCGATATCCAGAGCGAGGAGTGAGACGTGCTGCACGAACATTTATTATTCGCGAGGCGCGTAGGCATAGTTCAAAATATCTAATATAATGTATCCCATTCAGAACAAATGAGCCAGGTAATTCGATGTGTAAAAAGAACTGGCGATGTGTGTGAAATAAAAGAAAGTTTCATTGATTTCATAGAAATTGCTGGAATGACAGGAGAGGACATTTGTCAACAGATTTTAGAAAAATTGGCAGTTGGTGATTTAGATATTGGAGAATGTCGTAGCCAATCTTATGATAATGGGTCCAATATGGCCGGCATCCATAAAGGTGTACAAACCAGGATTGCAGAAAGGAATAAGCTGGCCGTGCTTAGAATGAGGCTAGAATGAGTTCGTACCGTGCTTTGCTCATTCCTTAAATCTTGTAGGTGTTCATTCTGCCTCATCATGCCAGGAAGCGATTAACCTATTTGGACTGATTCAAAAAGTATATTGCTTTTTTGTTGGCTCCACTACTAGATGGGACATTATGAAAAAATACGTTAAAACAAATTTAAAAGGAAGTAGTCAGACGAGATGGTCGGCGAAACATGTTGCTGTGAACGCCCTATTAAATAATTTGCCAGAAATAGCGGAAGCCTTAGAAGGTCATCTCTTAACTGCTATAAAGGATTTTAAATTTATTCTTAATTTAACTATTTGGGCGAATATTCTCCGCGAAATCAATGGAGAGAATATAGAAATTCAGAAAGAAGCTATTATCCTTGCCCGTTCCGGAAATGGATGGTCTGCTCAAAAAATGAATTTGCAAAAAATGAGACAAAATCCAATGGAATATTGGATAAAAGAGGCTGGAGAAGTTGCTGAAAAAAATGGTGTTGACCTTATTTTGCAAAACAAACGAATTCCGAAACGTAAAAAACATTTCGATGAGATGTGTGAAGACGAATTACAAACACTCCAATCTGTTCAACTATTTTCTAAAGAAATAATGATGGTATTTGATCGAATCATATCAGAAATTAAAAAGAGGTTTGATTGTGACTACCATGCTAAATTTGAATTTTGCTTTTCTTAATGGTACTAATATTTTGAAAATGTCAATTGAAGAACTGCAAAAGTATGGAGCAGATCTGGCTCGAAAATACGATCGAGATTTAAGCGCCGTTGAATTCTGCCAGGAACTGTACGTTTTCAAAGAGCAAGCTCCGCTTTTATTTGGTGATATAGAAAAGGCTAATGGTTTCTATCTCTTGCAACAGATCTATGCGCATGATTTGCAGGATGCTTTTCCTAATATTTGTATTGACACCTTTACGTTGTACCATAATTGTCACCTGTATGTTGCAGAAACGTTTCAATGAAACATAAAAAGGGCCGGACATTAGCAGTTTCAGACACGTTTCAACTATGTTTCAGAAATATGTCGAAGAAACGTTTCATGTTTCAATAATATGTATCAGAATTGCTTCTGAAACGCAAATTTGTTTACTGGGTTATCATCGAGTAGGGTAAACACGCCAGTGGTCGACCACTTAAGACATATTTCAAAGTCAAACGCCGATAAAAAATAGAACTAAAGGCACAATGAACCGATATTTTGAATTAAGATAGGTAATACATTTCTTTTTGGAAATCTGCAATCGATTCATGCTAGAACCATATAAAAATAAAATTATCCTAAAATACGTTCAAAAGGACCTAATGTGCCAGTAGCCGACCACTTCCTCGAGTCGACCAGTTTAAGTCCAGTGATCGACCGGTATTTCATCAGCCTGCAAAATTATAATTTTTCAGTAAATTGATTTACCATAATCACTTTATTCCGGAATAATATTTTTTTACAAAATTAGGAGCAGAAGGAACACTTATAATTCTTGAACTGTACTTCCTCGAAACTAAGTCCTATGAATTCCGTACACTTTAGGTGGTACCATCTTGTGCACACATCACAGCCTTCGTGAAACTTCATGAAATGAAGAATATTTCATCTTCTTCGACATCGCTAATAAGCTCTTCATCACATTCAGAGCATTTTATGGCTTTTCTGGATTTTTTGTTAATTCCTCCCTTTTTTTCATCATTGCATACCATTTTCTTTTTTTTTCTCTGTCCTTACAGCCCTTCTTTCCATTTTTCTGTTCTCTTCTTCCTTTTTCTTGTTTTCTTTATTTTTTAAATAATTCCTATATGCTACTGATGAAATAGCTGACGGTAACTTTTCTTAATTTTTCTGTTTGTACCAATAGGTGCAGACCAGTATAAGTAACTTTCAAAGTTGGTCAAATTTTGTAAAGGCATTGGCTAATTCGAAGTTTCAGACTGATTATTATCATTAATTTTATCGATATTCGAATTTTCGGTTCTGATTGTGGAGTCATTTCATTAGCAACAATATTTTCTTCAGATTCAACAAAATTTACTTCAGCACGTTGGTTTAAAACTTCTTCAGAAATTAAGGTTAATGCTCCATCAGTCTGTACAGTATATGTTTCGACTATCGGTGGATTTGAGGTCCCAGCATTTTTTGATGCCCACAAATTGTCTAAGACAGCACTAACTTTTTCGATATCGATATTTTTCGGTTTCAATGCCTCACTAAAATAAGAAAGAACCTTTTATGTGATATTTAAGTCTTCCATGGAAATCGAACCGATGGCTCTCAATGTTGTATTTTCTAATCGATTATGAATGCATTTTGTAAAATCTACGGTTTTCGGGTCTAGCGGAAAAAGACCACATCGCATAAAGCCATTTCTAATTCTTTCTGGCAAAGTAAACGATCTTAAGCATTCGTCCAATAAAGGGCAAAAATCAGTTTTTGTTAATGTTTTGTTTAGATTATCATTTTTATTGTGCCATTCACGAGCTGGATGATATGGGTTGTATTGGGAGGCAAGGCATACAAAATTATATTATGTTCATCACACCATTTGCTTAGGTGATACGATAAATGAGATGTGTGTCCATCAACGAATAATATAACAGGGTGTGGCACATCATTTTCCTTCAACCACGTATCGACACCATTAACCACATATTCGTAAAAAATATCACTTTTCATCCAGCCACTAGTAGATTTACCAATAAACCATTGGACGGGAATCGACTTCATTAGAGTAGCTGGAGGCCGAATATATGGAAAAGTTACCATTGGATATAATGTTTGACCATTCGCAGAAAAAACCAGTAGTACAGTTATATTTTCCTTTTCATTGCGATTTTTTATTTGATATATATTTTTGGTGACTCTTGGTGTTAAACCCTTCCCGGATTTTGGACACAGGAAAACCCGGTTTCATCACCATTCAATACCCGACGAGGGTCTTCAAAAATGTCTTTGCAATTACTTTCGTTTAAGAAGTCGTTTAGCTCTCTGAACCATTTTCGTATCGCTTCCTCTGTAATTATTGCTCGTGATTTTGACAGAGCTTCGGGCTCCCGAAAGACAATATTTTGTCGTCTACAAAATGCCTTAAACCACTTCTCCCCAGGCTTGCCGTCTTTGAAAGGTGTCTTTTGTCTGAATTTACAATGTGTTGAACCGATTTCAACAATTCTTCCTTCTGCAAGGGGAATCCTGGATAAATGTTTCAGCCACAAAGATAATTTCTGTTCCTCTTCTTGACTGAGAATAGTAGGTGGCCCCATAATCAAAGGCCCTATATTTATTCTGCCTTTAAGCCTGTCTATCAGGATAGTTTTGGGAATCTGAAAATTTTGAGATGTTTCTCTTATTCCCATACCATTGTGAATTGCATCTGTAAAGAAGTTTCTGAATATCTGTGGAGCACTTTTTTGTTTGGTTTTGACATTTTCCTGAAAAAGCGTACATATCTTTATTATGTACATATCTTTATTAATAATTGTAAGGATTTATGTGAATTGTAAATGAAATTTTTAATGTAATTATTGAAACCGTGAAAAATCCATGAAAAATAAAAATTATTATTAGGTATTATTATTATTAGTCGAGTTAAGCAGAATCGACTAGATTTAACTAGAGAGAACAGTCTTCTTAAAGCTGTTTATGATTTTTAATATTTTGAATTTTTACGTATTGTAAGAAGCGGTCGACGACTAGAAAACACTGCATGTCCCTGCTCTGTGTCGGTTCTTATGTGAATCACCCTGTATTTTATTAAATTCAAATAAACATAGCAACATTTGTTTGTGTTCAAAAATTTTCTGAACTGTCAAATTAAAAATCCTGTTTTTTAAGATGGATTATGAAAATTAAGAAAAGTTTAACATGTTAGAATGTTACATATTAGAAAATAAAGTAAATTTTATATAAATTTTTAGTAGAATAATTTTTAGTTATAGTACCGTAATTTGCAGGAAACTGTAAATTTAATTTCTATGACACTAAAAAAAAGTTTATTTTTAGCTTTATTCTAAAACAATAAAAAATAAACCTATCTAACCCTATACTTTTGTAATCAGAAAAAAATAATGAATTTAATAAGCGAATAATCAGTGGTTGTTTCCATTTAAAAAAATGAAAATTGTCATAATATCTCAAAATTTAAAACCGAAAAATTTCTTTTGATACGTCATCAAATTCTCTGTAAAAAAGTGTCCATATAATGTCTTAGTTATAATACTCCACCTATAATAATAAGCAAGATAATTGCGCTTGCTGGTTTTACGATATTTTCAATTTTGGCCCCTAGGAGAAAAACAAAACGATAGCGCTTTGAGCTTTTTGGCATTAGCAGTAGCAGTTTCTTGAAAAACGAGATCATGACATGTACGCTACTTTTTTTCTAACTCTTATAGTTTCCGAGATAGCCTATTTGGACATCGAATTTGAACCATCCTGTACTTTAATTAATAATTGGTGATATTTCCCCAAGGATCCTTCAAGAAATTAATTTTATAGCGAATTTTGAAAATTATCGATGAAAATTGCAACATCGTAAATTTTATCAAATCTACAAATATTGTTTTCTCAAAAACTAAAAGTTATTTTTTAAAACGGGTTGGTTCATTGGAAAGAGGACACTTTTATTAACACCTTGGGAAATTTTCATACTCATATTCCAAGAAATGGATTCTATACGAATTTTTAAAACTTAATCGTCGAAAATTGCAAAATTCGAAAAAATTGTCGATTATTTCAAATATTTATTTTTCAAGAACTAAAAGTGATTTCTCAAAACGGCTTGTTACATTAAAAAGATGATACTTTAATTAATAATCGAAAGTGATAACAGCGACAGATCTGTTAGTAATGAATGTAATGATGAATTACAAGCGAAGAGAAGAAAACTAGCAGAAATTGCAACAAGAGATTTTATACAGGGTAATTCAAATTCAACCCCCATTGGGATCTGAGAAACCATAAGATACAGAAATGGTTAAATGGGGGCAAAGTTGCGTATCTTATTGTTAGAGCTTATCATTTTTCAACTAAGTTTTTAGATCTAGCCATTTTAGTTTTTAAAATATGGCCGAAAAACAAAAAAAAGACTTTTTCGTTTTTTGCCTATAACTTCTGTATTTTTTCGTTTTTTTCGTGAATCTGAAAAACTATTCTTAAGGCAACTCTTTATGAAAAATGTCATGACTCATGACACAACTAGAAATTAAATGGAAACACTTAGTGCACAAGTTACAGCCTCCTAATAAGATATTCGTTTTTTTTTTTGAATAATTTAATGTTTTTTTAAATGAAATACATTGTGTGACATATCATTGAAATCAGAATGTATATTGTATTGGGATTGCTACAATAAAGTTGCTAATGACAAACCTGATATAAATAAAATTGTATTCAATGAAAAAAATTCTATTGGGGTTTAACTTGATTATTATCTGCAGTGTCCAACACCTAAAAGAGATATTAATTCCTGTGAATGGTGGAGTACTAAGTAATAGGTTTTTAATATCCGGCCAAAGCCGGATATTTGGTAACTATCCGGTATCCGGCCAGATTTTAACAAATGGCCGGATACCCGATAGTTGCCAGATATCCGTTCCACCACTAATTAAAACCATACATTGAATGATACCAGGAGTTCCACGATAAATGTGGTCATTAAAAAGGGTTCCACTCATCAAAAAGTTTAAGAAACGCTGGTTTAGATCAAAAATTTTTACAGAATCGTCATCATTTTGACTCTAGTATTTGTGGTTAAAATTATGTCACGACTTACAGAAACCCTGTATATCAATTTTCGTCAAATTTCTTTGTTTCTGTTACATATACAGGTCATAATAACCCTGAACACAGTGAAAAGTACCCTTTTGTTTTGAATAACCTATTTTTTTAATAATTTAATTACTTAAGATTGATTAAAAAAATTTTGTTGATTATACTATAATAACAAACTTTTGTTTATGTAATATTATGGTTTTCAAATCAATATATGATTATTATTATTAAAAATTGATTCAACTAACATAGAAAACCTTTATTTAAATAACAACACAATAAAAAAACAATAACAAGCAAAATTTCTATAAATGTAAATGAATAAAGGACATAAATGTAAAACACACTCTCACTTAATCTTTTGAATTTTGCTTTTTTTGTGGGGTCCTAATCTGGCCTTCCTCCCTTTATACATATAAGACATCATGGAATACATAGAACTTACAAACACAAACATATAAATTCTTAAAACTGTTGGATAATCAAAAACGAAATTATAATAGTTCGGTAAAGACAAAGTGAATAACTTAGTTTCTTCAGCATAGGGAATGCTTCTTAATACAATAATTCCTTCACAAAGAAATCCTAAGGGATACAAAGGTATCCAAACCGTGTACCTCAACCAAGTTAACCAAGCATTTTCCTTCTTATATAATTGCGTTATATAATAAGGATATCTAACAAGTTCGACTGAACTCCAAACAAGGAATAAATAGAAAACAACTGGTTTTATTTGCATTCGAGGCTCTGGAGAAATCATTCCGAATAAAACGAAACAACGGCCGAAAATTTGCATAAAATTAATCAATGGTGAGCCTTTCGAGTAACCTAAAATCGGATAAATTATTTCTAAAGACATCAAAACGTGAAGTAGCTTCATTAAAAATCCAACTGAATCGTAAGTCCCGGAGTATGAATCGGGACCTTCTTTTAAAAAGCGAACACCCAAAACGCACAGGATGTAGAAAAAGCCTAAGTACATGAAGAAATTGTGGCAAATCATAAAGACTTTTTTAAAATCTTCTAAAACAAAAGGAAAAATATTTAGTACTCAATAAATGATTAAAATAAAAACAACCTTTTTTATAACCTTGTTCTTCTTTTTGCAACTTCTCGTAAATATCGGGATAATCATCACGAATATCACGAACTTCATCATTCAAGTCTTCCTCACTTTGCCACTTATCGAAATCGATTTTTAACCAAGCAGGTTTTTGAGGTTGCGATATTAATCGAGGCCAAAACCCCTCCTCCGTTTTAACCAAATTAAAATCGACCTTTGAATCGTGGATTTTCATAGTGTAATCCTAAAAAAATATATAAATTCTATAATTTTTGATATGACAAGGTTTAATTTTTCGCACTTTTGACACATCCCCGTAAAAATCCATTGCAAATTCATATTTATTTAAACCCCTAGCGCCTTCTCCTTCACCGAAAAACGTGATTTTTCTACCTTCAATATTTACTTGTGGTTCCTTAAAAATTAAAAACATATAAGTGAGGTTATGTTTTTTCTTGTTAACGGTTTTACCTTAACATTTCGGACATCAACTTTTAAAAAGATGTTTTTGGAGGATTGTGCCCAGTATATGAAGGGACTTAGATTGTCCATGATCTCGAAAAGGGGGCTAAATTAGTCTTTTTATGAGGTTTATGCGGTTTATGTCAAAAAATGGTGAACTGTCAGTTTTGTAATTGTTAAAAATGCGTATAGATGGCAGTAGATAAAAGGATAGGATAAAACAAAATAAAGTCCCTAGGGATACAAAAATATAAAATATACAAAAATATGTATATAAAAAAAAGATAAATTAAAATAAAAAAAAATATTAAAATATAAAGCGAAATATTAACGGTTATAATTTTATTTATTGTTAGGTTATCCAACTTGACTCGGTTACCATGGTGATTAAGATCCAAATATTGCAGGTGCTTGTCAAAATTGAAATTGAATTTAAGTTTTTTTAAGGAAAAAGTCTTATTTAATTGGTTTAAAAGGCTGTATTTAACTCAAAATTGGTTTATCTAGAGTATTATAAACAAGGTAAGTGGATTAAATCAAAAAAGATATTTTTAATTTATTTCTCTTAATTAGAATCGATTTAAATTAACTACAATTAACGAATTTTTATGAATGCGAGATAATCGTAAAGAATTCGAATTGTTGTCAAATTAATAAAAATTAGGTTAGAATTGATAAAAAAATCGGAATAAAATTTTATTATTTTAAGGTTATCGAACTTGACTCGGTTACCATGGTGATTAAGATCCAAATATTGCAGTTGCTTGTCAAATTTGACGTTGAATTTAAGTTTTTTTAATGAAAAATACATAATTAATTGGATTTAAAGGTTGTATTTAATTCAAAATGGGTAAATGGATGAAATTATAAGCAAGGTAAGTGGATTAAATCAAAAAAAAATATTTTTAGATCAATTAAAATGTACAAGAATTTAGGGTTAAATAACAATTAAAAATAAAACTAACACTAGAACTAGAAAGTTTTAGGTTTAGGCGGGCGTCTTTTAGACAAGAACTTAGAAAAGTCTGTAGACGCACGGCTAAACCCGAATATTTCTAGTTCTAGGTCTAGTGTTAGTTCTAGTTTTACGCTAGCACTATCACTAGAACTAACACAAGACCTAGAACTAGAAACAATCGGAGTTAGTCGTGAAAAAAACTTTAATTTTATTATTATATTCGTAATATTCATAACATAACCTTTAAAGTGAATCCAAACTTGACGTATTTATCTCAAAAAACCAAAAAGTTGAACTTTCAACTTTTAATTTTGACATATTTGTCAACTTCATAAAAAATCCTTTAAAATGAGTCCAAACTCGACATATTTAACTTTAATATTAATGGAAATACAATCACTTCCGGTTTGAAACGTCAATTTTGATATATTTGTCATCTTCATTAAAAAACCTTTAAAATGAGTCCAAACATGACGCACTTATCTCAAAAAACAAAAAAGTTAGAATAAAAAACGTTAAACCCGAAGTTAGCAACAATTAAGATAGCTATTTAATTTTTAAATATTAATACCAACCTCAATTTTTTATTTTTTTTTCTATTATATTTTTGTTTCTGTGACAAATATTAAGACATTTTATAAAAATTAAGAATTTGTCAAAATGACATTGACATTTCAAATCGGAAGTTGCTTATATCTCGAGTAATATTGGAATTAAACGTATCATGTTTGGGCTCATTTTAAAAGATTTTTCACGACAATTACAAATATGTCAAAATTGACGTTGAAATTTCTAACCGGAAGTTGACCATAACTTTATTAATGTTGAAGATAAATATGTCGTGTTTATACTCATTTTAAAGGATTTTTAATGAAGATTACAAATATGTCAAAATTGAGGTTGACATTTTAAACCTGAAGTCAGTTATCATATAACAGACAAATGGACAACTTCATGGTGTTCTTTCATGATGTATTCTTTATTCAAAAACCTTTAAAATGAGCCCAAACATGACGCACTTATCTCAAAAAACAAAAAAGTTCGAATAAAAAAGCGTTAAACCCGAAGTTAGCAACAATGAAGACAACAATTTAATTATTAAATATTAATACCAACCTTAATTTTAATTTTTTTTTATCGTATTTTTGTTTTTGTGATTAATTTTAAGATATTTTATGAAAATTAAGAATTTGTCAAAATGACATTGACATTTCAAACCGGAAGTTGCTTATATCTCGACTAATATTGGAAGTAAACGTATCATGTTTGGGCTCATTTTAAAGGATTTTTCACGACAATTACAAATATGTGAAAATTGACGTTGACATTTGTAACCGAAAGTTGACCTTAACTTCATTAATATTGAAGATAAATATGTCGTGTTTGTACTCATTTTAAAGGATTTTTAATGAAAATTACAAATATTGAGGTTGACATTTTAAATCTGAAGTTAGTTATCATATAATAGACAAATGGACAATTTCATGGTGTTCTTTTATGATGTATTTTTTATTAAAAAAAAACATTAAAATGAGTCCAAACATGATGTTGCTAGATGTCACTATGTTGTATATTTTTATTGCACTAAAACTAGAACTAATACTAGACCTAGAACTAGAAAAATTCGGGTTTAGCCGTGCGTCTGAACAACTTTTGTATAAAATGTTTTTTTATAAAGATATTTTTCGAGTTGCATAACCTTATAACCAATACTCACCGGACCTTGGGATAAAATAGAGTCCCTAGATTATCAAAGTACCGCGGGTTGCCGCCATTTTGGCTCGAAAATCAAGCGGGAAATTTAAAACTATGTCGTTCTGATAATAAAATTACGCCAAATTTCCTTTCCTTTTTTTACTCGTGGTACTCTGAAGAGTCGAAAGCCCTTCTTACTGCTATTTTTGCAACAAGATGGCGTTATTACACGTGCACTTTTTGTAAATAAGTAGTGACATGCACTGACAAGCTGTCATACCGCCATTTTGGCTCGAAACACAGGCTTCATGAACCGCGGTACTTTGATAATCTAGGGACTTTAGGATAAAAGATATATATTATATACTTATCATTAGAATCAACTTACAATAAGTTTAATGAAGATCAAAGGCAACAAATGTATAATAACTTTATTCTATAAAAATCTTGTATTACAAACATTTTAAAACTTTATTACATCATTAACTAACTCTTTAACATTTTTATAGTTCAGTAGTACTTTATGCAATTCTTTCATTGCATTAATTCCATTAAAATGCACCCTCGTCTTTTCACTTCTATAATGCACTCCTTTTATCAGTTTTCCTAAAATGTAGTGTAACCATAACACGTTGGAGTATGAGTCAAACATCTCCCAATTATCTCTAAAATAAGATAATAATTTATTTATTGAAGTGATTTTTGTTGTTAGGTAAACTTACCCGTTTGACTTCTTCATTAACCTATAAATTTCAAATTGATAATCTCCTTCTCCTTTAAACAAATCTAAATCACACTTTAAATCATTAAACATACAAATTCCATTTTTTTTAATTCTTGACATAGTATAGTCAATTATAGTTGCTTTAACGCCTTTATTTTCCACCAATATTTCATCACCATTATATAGATATCTTTCACAGCCTTTTGGCTCTTTGAAGGATATCAACACGTTTCCCCAATGTAGATCTCTATGCTCAAATTCTAGAGAATTCTCTGCCACCGCCAAACCACAAACAATCTGTTTAAAAACAGACCAAGACTGTTTGGCATTGTAGAACACAAAACTTTCTAAATCACGACCAGCATTTTCTAGTTCCAAGACGATAAATATCTGATTCTTTTCAAAAATGTTTGGGTGGTCATTTTCAGTGCCGTATGTTTCTTGGAATAGTTCCCAAAGTTCGATTAGACGTGGTGGGTATTGGCCTCGAACGCAAGAGATTTTCTTTAACCGAGAAAACGTTTCCGTTTGGTTTTTCTCGTCATCTCGTAACGATGACAGTTCGGATTGAATTGTTAGTTCCGATAGGACTTCCGCAAATTTCTTTTGTGGCTCTCCATTAACGAGGTATGAGCCCTCGATTGGGATTACTTTTAATACCGAAACTTCTTTCGGTGATTTTTTGAGGAGAAAAACTTCCCCATAGAGACCTTCTGCAATCTTGTGACAATTCTTTAATGAACTAAAATTAAAAATGTAAAACTAAATTAATCTAAAATCTTATGAATAAGTTATATACTATTTTATAATTTGGACTAATGTTTTCAAATTGAAGCGTCAAAAATATTTTAGTCCAATAAAAATAGTAATATAATAAACATAGTAATATCTTGCGCTAATTAGCACTACCTACTACTGCCACTAAAACTAACACTAGACTGAGAACTAGAAACATTCGGGTTTAGCCACACGTCTCTCAAGACGGCTAAACCCGAATGATTCTAGTTCTAGCTCTTATGTTAGTTCTAGTGATAGTGCTAGTATAAAACAGGAACTAACACTAGACCGAGAACTAGAAACATTCGGGTTTAGCCGCACGTCTCTCAAGACGGCTAAACCCGAATGATTCTAGTTCTAGGTCTTGTGTTAGTTCTAGTTTTATTTCAATAAAAATATACAACATAGTAATATCTTATGCTAACTAGCACTACCTAACACTGTTACTAGAATTAACACTAGACTGAGAACTAGAAACATTAGGGTTTAGCCGCACGTCTCTCAAGACGGCTAAACCCGAATGATTCTAGTTCTAGGTCTTATGTTAGTTCTAGTGATAGTGCTAGTATAAAACTAGAACTAACACTAGATCGAGAACTAGAAACATTCGTGTTTAGCCGCACGTCTCTCAAGACGGCTAAACCCGAATGATTCTAGTTCTAGGTCTTGAGTTAGTTCTAGTGATAGTGCTAATATAAAACTAGAACTAACACTAGACCTAGAATTAGAAAGTTTCGGGTTTAGCCTTGTATCTTCAGACGCCTATTTATTATAATATAATATATTTTTAATGAAACAAAAACAATAAGCTATTGTTCTTTTCCTTTTATTTACAAATGACATTGAAATTAGTTTACCAAGGTTTTCTTTATTTAATTTATTTATGATGAAAACATCTTAAACAAAACAAATCATAAAGAATTTGTGGCGCAAATATGTTTTTTTTTTAAATTTTCGATTGAAACGTAACTGAGACGTCAAATGTAGGTATAAATAAAAACAAATCCGAATAAAATTAGACGCAGTTTGAACTAAAAAGCGACGTGGTTTTGGCACGTTCTCAATTTAATTGGAAAACTTTGAATTTTAACCTAAATAAATCGTTTTACACCACATGAATAAACCACAAAATACAAAGAAATTGGAGTTTTAAATTATGACTCACTCATATCGAACGTTATTTGACCTTAATTTTTAGCTAAATCATTACTTTTATTACTAAGTTAAACTCACCTTTCTGGATAACATTCTTGAAAATCTAAAACCTCGTTTTGTTCGCACTTTTTCAAGACGATCTCTTTCGCACTTAAATCTTTCCTGTATCCAATAAAGCTTTGCCTTTCTTGTCCAAATTTAAAACCTTTTTCTTTACCAAGTTCTTCGGCGTTTCGGTTAAAACTGCCCTTGGTGTCGTCGTCTTGTAAATTTACCGTTCGTTGAAATACCGCCTCGAAGTCCTCTTGGTCTTCGACACGAATCGAGCTCTCGGGGCTGATTGCTGGTTGGACATAAGTAAGGTTCGTAGTGAAATTGTCGAAAAAAGTTTCGTTTAGCAAATGCATACAACACGAAAACGAAGAAATGGTTTTAAAAAGAAACGTTTAATAAGTTTGATGAATTGAACGTTTTTTTTTGGGTTGGAGTTAAAACTTAAAACACGTGGTGTTCTTAACTCTAGTTAAGAACGCCTAGTGAAATATGAAATCGAGGCGTGGAGGTCTGGCTAAAAGCGGTTTATCCCTACTTTTTCGAAACGGAACGGTTTGTTGAGTCGTTTGAGTTAGGTGGGAGTAAAATGGTAATTTGCTGACTTGGAAGTTGTATACTACGTCTTTTTTACGCGTATAATTCTAGGAAATGAGAAAGAATAAAAAAATGATGACGAAATTAATTTGAATTCGATGTGAGTCATGATGTTTAAGATAAACAAATTAGAATTGATTAAAGTTTAAATTTTTTTATAAAGCAATTTGTGAATGAGTAATTTCACAATATTACTAAAAATGTTTTTTAGTACAACTCACAGAAAAAAAGTAGCCAAAAACAAAGAACTTATTAGAATACAAAAGAAGAATTAAACACAATGAGAGATAAGATACAGAAAATCCAGCGATTTTGGTATCTATGACGCAAAATTTTTGTGTGAAATTGGTTCAATTTTAAATTTGATGCAAAATGAGCGCCATATTGCTTCTTCATATCTAACGGAATTGGTGTTCATATTCATATTTATTTAAATAAAGTACAAAAACGATACAATTACGTCAAAAAAAAACATTGCAATAATTTGCATTTAAAAAATGATGATGAGATAAGAATGGTAAGAGACAGACTTCGTTTGCTGGTTGACATTCATCATATTGATCCTGGCTTAGTTACCAAAGAATATTTAAATAGAGAAAGAGAGCTTATCTTAACAACAAAAAAATGAGCTAACGCTAAATTAAAACACTCTAAGAACAAGCAAGCTGCTGTCTTTTGAACTTGTCATTAAATCGCAACTGGTTGACTATTTGGAAAATCACATGCTGAACACCTCTCAGTTTGATTTTCGTCGAGGCATGTTCACCACTTCAGTAATACACTCCTTAACGTGTAAAATGTTATTTCAGGATAGGACAATGGATTAAAAAATGACAATCAATTAATCATTCCAATATTTCGATCCTATATTGAATCTTCTTCAGGGACTCACTACAAGTTAATCCAAATCAAAACCGTCTAAATTTTTCTTCGTACAGAAAACACACCACGTTGTTACAGATCATAGCGAAATTTGCAAAATTTAGACGATATATTTTTGTATTTAATATTTTAAACAATTTCATTACAATCGTAAGTTTTAAATTTATCTTATTTGATTGGTTTTGATTTGTATTAACTTGTAGTGAGTTTCACTCCCTGAAAAAGATTCAATATAGGATCGAAATATTGGAATGATTAATGGATTGTCATTTTTTAATCCACTGTCCTATCCCGAAATTACATTTTACACGTTACCAACAGGATAAACAAATATCTCCTACTACACTCCTTAACTCAATGCATACAAAATGGTTTTGAAAACGACCTGCTGCCTGAGATATCACTTTTTGATCTGACGAAGACTTTCGACTGCATTGACCACGAGTTATTCTTGCTAAAATTAAAAGCTCACCATTTTAGTAAACCCAGCATCCTACTGCTTAAGTCTTATCTTTCGGAGCGCACCCAGTATGTTTCTTTCAACAACCAGACTTCTGATAAAATTACAGTTACATACGGAGTCCCACAAGGAAATGTACTAGGTCCGTTGCTGTTTTTGATATTTATTAAAGACATGCCTAGCTGCCTGCCACAGATCTCGGAGATTGTACTTTATACGGATGATACAGCAACTATAAACACCCAACCCAACCCGCCCTAATTTCAATACTCTTGATCAGGCTTTGTCTAGCACTACCCGAAGACTTCTATCTTGGTTTGAATCTAATAATCTTGAACGCATTCAAGACTGAGTCATTGACGTTTGCTTTACAGGAAATTACTCCAAATCTCACTCAGCCGGTTAAATATCTGGGAGTGATACTTGATTCCAAGCTAACGTGAGAGGCTTATGTACTTGGCTTGGCCAGGAAGTTAAATAAGTGTATTTTTGCAATTAGAAATCTGATATAGTATCATTTGATACTTTGATTGTGGAAGTCTCCTACGCCATTCTATGTTGGGAACACTCTGCTCACGCTGTCCAGGCTTTTCCAATGCAAAGGAGTCATGATTGGTTTGCGCTTTGCCGAATACTGTAGAACCAAATTCTCTGAACTGAATATTCTGACTGTTCCGTGTATATATATTCTAGAATGTCTACAATACACTAAAAATAATCCAACCTCATATCGTAAAGTATCGCTCACTTTACGAACTTTAAACACAATTATCAAACTAGAAATAATAACGATATTGAAATAAATTTTACATGTACTGTGAGAGCTCGAGATTGTGTGAACTATTACGCCGCCAAGCTGTTGCCCGAGCGTGTCCGGACCTTTGATGCTAAACAGTTCAAATCTCAAATAAGGCTCTACCTTGGATTTAAAAGATTCTATGGTGTTAGATTTTATATTATATTGGTTAATTTATATTAGATTTGATAGGTTTATATTATATTAGTTCATTTATATTGGATTTATTTGTATCGCCTCATTTGTTTAGTCTAGATTTGAAGTGTCTCGAGTCGCAATATTAGAGTCTTTTATCGCATTATTTATTGGGTGGAGTTAAGTGTGGGAATGCGTTGGGGTATTTCGGTGTTTAGGTAAGGGTTTTTAGTTATGACCTAAAATAAAGAAGGAGCCTGCGAGCTCAACTCGTATCAGTTATTCAGTCTTCGATTTAACACCCACCGAAACAGTACCCCTTCAATTTACGCGGAGCAAGGCTCCCTATATAACTCTCGCCACAACTAATCGCAATTTATATGTATAGTTTAAGTGAAATTAATAATAAAGTTTATGGAAACGTAAAACCAAGATTTTGTTGTTAACCAGCGCCCACCAGATAAAAATAAATAATCATATGGCATTGATTAATACCTCAAAAATAATTTCAATGATTTGGAGGGCTTGCCGATGGCATTGCCATAGTTGTAATCGTGCGTTTTTTATTGTAACCTCTTGCAACTTTTATTTGTTTATTTTATCTTGTTTTGTTTATTATTTTTTGCTTGCTGTAGTCAGCTCGTATTAATTGCATTGTATTTTGATGAGGTTTTTCTTTTTTAGACTAATTTCTGTACGAATCTTGTATATTTTTGTTGTTGTATTTTTGCCTTGTTGTATAATAATAACAATAATAATGGTTTATTGATCATCAGGTGTATACAAAAGAAAAAATACAAATATAAGAACAAAATACTTAAAATAAATATCTACGATGATCAAACTTATGATGAGGTTCAATATGTACCGATCTTCCACCTCACCATAGAACAAAAGAGAAAAACAGAAGTTAATTACTGAAGCGATAAAAAAAAATCAAAAGAAGTTTCCTCGAAATTTCCAATAAACATGCCCGAAAGGGTTCTCTACAATTAGAAAAAAACAAAGCATAAATGGGGTCAAGAACACTGCTGCCTAAATAAAAAAACAGCATAGCGCCTTCTGAAAATGGCTATTGACGCACACTCAGCCAACGCACAACAAGGAGGATGTTCATTTATTATTTTGCATGATCTGGTATGAAAAACATCTTTTAAAACTTACGGTATAAAGTATTGGTGGAGATAATCTACCCCTAAATCTAACATTGACCACGTCCGCACGAAAACGTACTTTTTTGACAGATACGCAAGTTTTTGTAAGGTCATTATTTTATAGTATAAACATAAGGTGTGTAACGATCTTCTCCTCTGCATGTCTAACCATTTCAAAGTGGCCAGCTTACAGTTTACGTGATCTCTGCGTTTTAAATCAAATATCAGTCTAATACAACTATTCTGTACCTTTTGAATTTCATTTTTTAATATGTATCACAAAAACGGGGCATACAGGGCATCACCGTAGTTAAATATGGATAGAACTACGCTTTCACATGGATGAATTTTTATTTTACGATTCACAAAGGCTTTATTGCTATAGATAATTCTTAAACTGCTATCTAAGCTTTCTGAATGCACTTGTTAATGTGTTCATTGAAACTCAGACTCTCATCGATCACAATGTCCAAATTTTTAATTGATTTCTGAATTGACACGACTTCATTGTTCACTATAATGCGTAGTTTTTTTAAGACAATCTGTTTTTGTTTCTTCGTACCAAATACAATCACATTCGATTTCATTTGATTAAGTTTAAGTCTATGGCGGTAAAAAAACTCACATAAAGAATGCAGATTATTCAGAAAGCTTCAGAAGAAAGACTCAGAAAGCCGAAAATTAATGATATATTTGTGTGTCGTCCGCATAGCAACGTGCTTTACAGTGCTTAATCTGTTGATCGAAGTTTGACGTATATAGAGTATAAAGCAATGGAGACAGTATAGAGCCCTGTGGCACCCCAGACCCAATATGCTGAAAATTAGATTGTTGACCGTTCACAGACACCGCTTGTTTTCTCTCCGAAAGGAAGTCACGCATTAAACATACTGCCTTATTATTGAACCCCAAATACTTTAAAAGTCTCATGGTCGACCGTATCGAATGCCTTGGAGTAGTCCAACAAGCAAAGGACAGTCATGTTACCCCTGTCAGTTTTCCGGAAATCATCGTCTATAATGTGTATAAGTGCAGTAGTACAATTATAACTTCGTCTAAAAAAGCCTGATTGATTCTGTGGCAAAATGTTGTTCTCCTCCACAAAGGTTGCCATTTGTTCGTATAAGATTCGTTCAGCAATTTTTGAGAGCACAGGCAAGATGCGAATGGGTCTCAAATCGTTGAGACCTGGTGGTTTATTAATTTTTGGCAACGGCTTGATTAACGCTTTTTTCCAAGCTATACAGTTTATAATACCGCGAATGTAAGGTATCAAATGAGGGCAACATTATTTGATACAATTAGTATTAACATAATCATATCCAAGCGCATTATTCTTCATACTGTGCATAGCAAGTTCTACATCATCGTCAATTACTGCCCGTAAGCTGAAATATACACCCTGATAAAATGAAAAATGACAAGCTCTTTGTCTGATCCACCACTCCCCCCAATTATGGCAATAAAATGATTATTAATATCATTTAACGAACCGAAGTGGGGCGGAAGCACACAGTTTCTTTTAAACATTCCCGCATTCTGTAGAGCTCTCCAACAATTACTTGCAGATGTCAGTTGCGACTCAAAATAAGCTCTACGTTTCCGGTTAATCGATGTATTTATCAGTTATATGCACCAGAGGACGAGTGTAAGACAAGTCCTTCTTAATAACACAATAAAGAATCTATCTATCTATCTACTTTCTCCAGGAGCATATTCTTCGCAGAAGTTCGAAATTATTTAGTTTCCATACTTTTTATTTCATGTGGTAGCGTATTATATAATTTCACGGCTATGTAGTGGTAAGTGTTTTGTGATTTTGCCACTCGGTCAAATGGAATTACAATATCTTCCCTGTAGCGGGTGTTGTGATCGTGCTTGTCTGCGTTGTTTTGTAGCGAATCTTTTTTGTTATGAATATACTCAAGGCAGGTAAGTATAAAACAATAAGGCAAGGTGAGTATTTTTAATTTTTGACGAGAGTTCTGCAGCTTTCATGATTTTTTAGCCCAACTAGTATACGAATTGCCTTTTTTGCATTATGAAAATGGCTAACATTTTTCTTGATGCAACCCACGCAATAATCCCATACGTCGCAATACTGTGGAAATATCCAAAGTATACGTTACGCAGTGTCTCTAGTGGTAGGTTGCTGATGAGGTGGTGATAGTCGCCCTTTTAAGTCGGATATGTTTTTGTTGACCGCCATACAACCTACCATCATTTGTTAATGATCTACTCAATACACTGATTAATCATTTATGTCACTTTATATATCAAATAATACTTGTGTCAGTCAATCAAGGACAGTACAATCTAACAGGACTGTTACATAAATTGTTGTGACAATGCCCGCACACTACGTCACACCATTTGCCACGCCCAGTCAGCTATTATTGTATTTTATGCGTTTGTTGTGTATTTTTAAAAGTTATATCGTAAACGTATTCATATTAACTTCAAAAGTAAATTAAATGTCTATCATATAACCCCTAAAAACACACAGCAAACGTATAGAACTCAATGACAGTTAAGTGGGCGTGGCAAATAGAATGACGTAGAGTGCGGGCAACAAATCGTAGTGGGCTAGAAAACAACAATAGATGTAACAGTCTTGTTAGATTCTATTGGTCGAAATGGCATTATTCTTGAAACAATGAGGCCCAAAATGATAAAGTGTCTATCCCGTGTGTCTGTACAAAATAATATATTACGCGGCTTATCTTATCGGTTTAAAAAGGATTAGTTTAATGTCATGCGAGGCATCCGGTTGCACAAAAAAAATGCTGTGTGCATCTAAATAACTATATTTATCAAATTAATCATCAATAAGCAATTTGAATGTTTTTACGCTTATTCTTAAGTTTTATAGAGATTAGAAGTGAGTTAAAAAACCATTAACTGTTTGCCGTGACTTGTTTTTACAAAAACACCAGCTACGTAACCTCCATAAATATTTATGTTTTCTTATTTATACGCCTTTCAAGTGAACAATTACAACAACTTTACGAAAACAATCTGAACAGTTAAGATTAGCCTATATTTGTTTGGGTGTAGTGATTGTAGCAGAAAATATAGATAACACAAATTATTATAATTATATCAATTTTAATTATTGCACTTTTATTAAATATTATAATTATTATCAAACGTTTTAAGTATAAAGTAGTTCGAAATAATTTGGTTAAGAAATTGTTGTAAACGTGTTGCCTTTTATCGCAACTTTTAATGAAATGGCTAAATAAATAACAATAAATAGTGCTATCTCTTCGATATCATTTTATCTATGTTTAATTACCAGCTTAAAAACGTGTCTGATAATTTTGAAATACACCACACCACTTAAATTAGAGAGATAAATCCTCTTTTAGATAATAACCAATAAAATCAAAATTTAACCACAAAACTCACTCAGTTTAATTCTTCCTTTAATACAATTACAATTCTTGATCTAATAACTTGATTATCTAATTGTCAAAGTTTCTATATTAATAGATTTTTAGAAGTTGAGACAAAATGGAGTTAATTAAGTTCACCTCGCATTGTAATTTATTTATGAGGAATCAAAATTGTAAGTAAAATTAATGAAAAGTTTACTAAGCTTAGTTAATAAGGTTAAAGTAAAATTTTTTGATTATAGACTTTGTTATATCATGTAAATTAATTGATTTTTTTTCCAATATTGAAATCTAATGCATCAATGTCTGAATTGTTTATATTTGATCTATTACAAATCATTGCGATAATCAAATAAAAAGCAAATGAATTTTGTACAAACACTCAAAACTAATTCCTGAAAAATTGTAAACTAATTGATTAACAAATATAACTCCAGTAACAGTCTTTTTGTGCTTACCGTATCATTTTTGTGTAGTTTTTATCATTTGTAACTGACTTCTAGCATTATTTTTAAGAAAATACTATTTTTTCGTAATTTTTTTGAATGTTCCACTAATGGCATAATGGAGATGAACGAGACCATATACTTTCTCACATTTTATTCTCAATAAAATCAATCAAATCAATATAAACTTTAACAATAAATGTATTGAAATTATTTATTGTCCATTATCTTGTGTGAAAGTGAATAAACAGGATTCGTGCAGATTGACTTTACATTTTTGACACGAGTTTGTCGTGTTTTTTTACAGAAAGCACAGCGATTATGTTTTTCTGCATGGATAATCCAGTGGTTGCTTTCTTCACATCACACTTGCGTTGGCACCCTTGAAGCTAATTCTTTATGGAAAGATGAATGTTCTCCTCCTGTTGGAGGAATGCCATGTTTTTGTAAACACGTTTCTTTGAAAATGCAAATAATCCATTTTTTGCTCAAGTCCTTTTCTATATAGTTGCCATCTGTGGAAAAATTCCCCAGCACCACTTCTTCGATCTAATGGAAATCCTATAGTTGTCTATGTTCTCATCCATCCTGTCTACACCGGCCATAAATGTATTGTATTAAGCTACTACATGAGGTTGCGCAACTGGCACCCTTTATTTCTGTTTTGATATCCAACTTTCCACTCTACATTCTGGAAGCGTAGAATCATAAGCCCTGACCATCAGAACTATTTTATTATCATGCCAGCTTGTAACGGTTATCTTATTGGCGACATCTGTACAATAGTCATAGACACCTCTGTCCTTCTTTTCTACTACTGTTGAAGGCATTATGGGACTTTTCAATTCTATTGTATTTGATAGTTCCTTATATCCAATACCTTTTTCATGTAAATTAGTTAGTAGTTTTAGCAAAGAAAAACATCTGTCGCTATAAATTTTAAAACTAGTCTTTTTTGGTAGGCCTTTTATCAGTCTAAGTACAGCAGAATCTTCTACACCTAATACTGGTTCGTTCATAATTGGGTCTTTTACTTTTTTGTAGTTGTCGCATTTTCTTCTTTATCCGCTGAAGTACCAGCTGCATTTTCTCACGTCGGTTTTTTTTCCTTGATATAGTTGAAAATAGACTTTTTTATTAAACGCCCAAGGACAAGCAAATAAATGAAGATAAATCATTTATTTTGTTGGCTACAGCTCATACATATTTTTATTTGATATTCACCACACAATGCGCAACGGCATACAAAACAAATTGTTGTGGTCATTCTTTTCTCCACTGTAGGACATAAACTGCAGTAACTTCTTTTCCCTTTCCCTTGAGGGTTTTCCTGATTCTCTGTAATAGGCTGATCTTGTAAAAATTGATATATAGAGAGTCTTTCTATTTTCATGACGGGAAGGGCAATGTTGTAGCCTTTCTTGTTGCCATGGTTTGGTGACTTGTTCTTGAAGTTTAAGAACAAGTTCTTGCCTCGATAATGGTTTCTGTCCCCTTTTTATTGCATTATGGAAATATATAACGGCTGCTTCCCGGCGCTTTGTGATCCTCCGTGATCTTTAAAGTATAGATTGCAGGTTATTGATGTCTGATGCGAGCGAAATTGATTGGCAGCCACTTTACCGATTGCCTGACATAGATGCTAAGGTGGAGTACTTTAATTCCAAGGTTCTTGACCTCTATGACACATGCCGGCACCTTGGTGTTATAGAGTCTCACACAGATCAACCCACTCTTGATGCTGCTGCTCTTGCGGAGTATTTTGCGGATCCTCCTGTGGTGATTGATAACATAACTATGCAGAATACTATTAGTGAAAGCCTTGCATCTACGAACGTGCTTTCCTTTTCATTCAGCTTGGTTACAGATGCTGAGGTCCGGGATGCTTCAACTTACTCCAAGTCCACTAGTGTCGGAGCAGATGGTATTAGACTCAGATTCCTCTTACCCATTCTGGATATAATTATTACTCCCCTAACACATATTTTCAACTGTTCTTTTGAACAGTCTATATTCCCGTCAATCTGGCGAATCGCCCATGTTATTCCTATCCCAAAAATTAAATCTCCGTCCCATGTTGGTGACTTACGACCCATTCCTATTCTATCTACGTTGTTAAAAGCTATTGAACGTTTAGCTTATTTACAGATTCAGAAATATCTTGAGAAGTTTAATCTGATTAACAAGTTCTAGTCTGGTTTTCGTGAATGGCAGGGCATGGTACTACTACAGCACTGATTAAGATCACCGATGATATTAGATCTGCTTGTGATGAGCGTTGTGTTACCTTGCTAGTGTTACTTGATTTTAGTAAGGCCTTTGATTCTGTGGACCATGCCCTCCTGTTAACTAGGCTTTCAGCTATTGGTTTTACCTTTTCTTGTGTATCTTGGTTCCAGTCCTACCTTTTCTGTCGGTCTTTACGTGTCCGCGTGGAATCTGTACTCTCTTCTCCTGTTGACATCAAATGTGGAGTTCCCAAGGGCAGTGTGCTGGGTCCTTTGCTCTTCTCAATTTTCATAAATAGTATTAGTGATGATATCTCGTGTAACTATCATTTATATGCAGATGACCTTCAACTTTATATTTCGTCAATTGTTATCAACCTCCCAGATGCTTTGTTACATCTTAATAACGATCTCTCTAGGGTACTTGACTGGTCTAGACGTCATGGACTTAACCTGAATCTAGGTAAAACGCAAGCCATTGCATTTGGCACTCGCCCCTTGCTGGCACAATTTAATTCCTTAATTACACTTCAACTGAGGCTTGGCGACACCGTTATTCCATTTTCTAATAGTGTCAAAAATGGATTCTAATAATGGATTCGGCGATGTCTTGGCGGCCACAAGTTCAAACTTCGTTGCTACATTCCTCCTGTTGTACGTCGTAATCTTTATTATTCTTCCCACACATTGATTATGCCGATACTGCGTATCCCGATCTGTCCGCAGCCCTTCGGGGCAAATTGTAAAGACGTCAGAACAATTTTATTGTATACGGTACATTTTTGATTTAGGATAGTTTCAACACATTACTCCATATCGTAACTACCTGCAGATGATGACTTGCCAGAGTCGTAGATCATTTCGTATGCTTACTATGTTATACAAAATTGTCCATACTCGCACTCCTGCTTATTTGTCTGATACCTTTCACTTTTTAAAATCACATGACTTGCCCACTCGATCAATGTCGGACTCTACACTCATGTTTCCAGTCCACAGTACTGCAATCTACCACAGATATTTTACAGTGCAGTCGATTGCGTTGTGGAACGATTCGCCTGCCGTTGTTCGCAATGCAACTAGTTTAATAAGTTTTAAAAATGCCTTAAGGCGCCATCTGCTACCTCTTTAACTATCTTTTTCTTGACCTATACGTGTTTGTTTTCTTCTCTAGTCTGCCCTTCATCTATCTTTTGGTGCACTTTTTTGTGTCTATTTCATTCCTTTTAGAAACTGACTGTCAATCCATTACATAATTCAAATATGCTCATTCGCTCAATTTTATTAGCACATCATTTAGTATTACTTTTTCGGTAGCCATAATTATTTATTTAAAATTACATATACACTGTTACCAGTTGGATCTCTTGGAAGATATCGCTTATTGCGATAAATTGATCCGTTTGTCTTGATGTCTATATTTGTTATGAATGTATATATTTATGTAAACATTTGTTGTTGAGGCAATAAACATCACTAACATCACTAAAATCACTGGCTTCCACAATATCATCATGTAATTCTCTGCCTGTGAGAGGCCTATTTCGATCTAATTTTCTGTTTTTCGATATATTTCCGTCTGCTTACGGATTATTTCCATGTCAAATTACTAAGTACACGTAAATTTTACGTACAGTGCTCTAATCTCGCACTTACAAAAGCTAGATGCGAAATGGAAGCAAATTAACAGCACATTCCCGTCGTAAAGGAAGACTGAGGGAAAGCACTTCTGACGCGACAGAGCGCTTGAATGAAACAATCGTTTGGGGAATATTAATACGTAAATTTGATGTGGGTTATTATTCTAGGGTTAAGCCTTTGCATCAATTCTCGCACTTTTGCAAATTTGTCGCCCAGAGGAAGGTTATTATTATCTGCACAGTGGAGATATCTTTTTATCATTTCGAATCTATTTTTTCTCATAGAATTCATTACTGCCATATTGCAAGATTCGGTTCTTAGCTCCCGCCATATTCTCCATCTAGGAACAACACAATAGCCAGATAATAGTAGTATGGCCAAAAAACACTTTATTTCTTCATTGGAAACTCAGAAAAAATTAAGTTCACCCTTTTGTTGTGCATATAACGTCGTCATTTCTACCAAAAATGATATAATACTATCATCAAGAAAAACTTTAAAGCATTCCACAGAATCAGAAGGAATGCAGGCGAAGGGTGCTGATTTTATCAGTTTCTTAAAGTTTGGAAACCCAGAAATAAGATCGAATTCTTGCCAGTTTATCTTTTTCGGTAACTTCTTTTGTATTTCTGACAAAGGTTCGTTGTCACTATTTGACTCTTCGTCAGTGTCGCTATCACCAATTGTGATAGTCTGTCTTTGATTTGTAATTTTCGCCATAGCTTCAGCTTGAAGTTCATCCAGCTTGTTGATGTCGTTGCAGAACTCTTCATTGCCGCTATCTTTAGCACCTCGTCTTCTCTATTATTTGAATGAGTTCTGTAGTTGTGAATGGTCTGAAATTAGTTCCAATTAGTTTCCATAGTTCCAATATTGGAAGTTTTGGGAAAAAGTTTTTTATACTTATCGTATTTATTATTATAGATGATATATGGAAATGTGTCNTCACTATACACCGTCCCACTCATTTTATTACAAAAACCTTTTACTTCTATCAATACGAACTATAACTAATCAATGAAAATAATACAAAACGAACTATAACTGACGTGACGTTTACTGTCAAAAATTATCAATAGACTCGTAAGAACTCGTATAATACAATACACTCGTACGGACTCGTATAAAATACGCGTAGCAGAGCGGCCGGTTTGTTTCATACGTAAAACAAGTATTTATTAAAAAAAATGTATTTTCAGTCGCTTGTCATTCAAAATTGCTTTTGGATATGATTCTTAGGTATTATAAGCATCATTTAAGCCAATAAAAAAAAAATGAAAAAAAAATTATTTTGTTGGGTAGTATAACGCCTTAAGGCGCCATCTGCTACCTCTTTAACTATCTTTTTCTTGACCTATACGTGTTTGTTTTCTTCTCTAGTCTGCCTTTCATCTATCTTTTAGTGCACTTTTTTGTGTCTATTTAATTCCTCTTAGTAACTGACTGTCGATCCGTTACATAATTCAAATATGCTCATTCGCTCAGTTTTATTAGCACATCATTTAGTATTATTTTTTCGGTAGCCATAATTATTTATTTAAAATTACATATACCAGTTGGATCTCTTGGAAGATATCGCTTATTGCGATAAATTGATCCGTTTGTGTTGATGTTTATATTTGTTATGAATGTATATCTTTATGTAAATATTTGTTGTTGAGGCAATAAACATTATTATTATTATTATAACATAGGAATTAACTGCAGCAATGTTGAGTATGTTGTAGAAAAAACAAAGAGGCCATCTCCTGGTCTTTCTATTGACACACATACTACCCAGTAACTCCATCGGTATTTCTGATTTATTTTTATGGAGAGTGCCAACTATTGTTAGATTGTATGATTTATTCAGTAGTTTTGTGGCCTCATACTGGTAAACCAGTTATCCATTGTGATGTTGCGGATTACTTTATCTTTTTCATTGTCACTAACATTACTAAAATCACTGGCTTCCACAATATCATCCTGTAATTCTCTGCCTGTGAGAGGCCTATTTCGATCTAATTTTCTGTTTTTCGACATATTTCCGTCTGCTTATTACTAACGCCACGTCAAATATACGTCTCATGTACAAAAGAAATTACTAAGTACACATAAATTTTACGTACAGTGCTCTCATCTCGCACTTACAAAAGCTAGATGCGAAATGAAAGCAAATTCTCAGCACATTCCCGTCGTAAAGGAAGACTGAGGGAAAGCACTTCTGACGCGACAGAGCGCTTGAATGAAACAATCGTTTGGGGAATATTAACACATAATATTATGTGGGTTATTATTCTATAATAAAATTCTATTCTAAAAATTCTATCTTTTTATCATTTCGAATCTATTTTATCTCATAGAATTCATTACTGCCATATTGCAAGATTCGGTTCTTAGCTCCCGCCACATTCTCCATCTAGGAACAACACAATAGCCAGATAATAGTAGTATGGCCAAAAAACACTTTATTTCTTCATTGGAAACTCAGAAATTAAGTTCACCCTTTTGTTGTGCATATAACGTCGTCATTTCTGCCAAAAATGATACAATACTATCATCAAAAAAAACTTTAAAGCATTCCACCGAATCAGAAGGAATGCAGGCGAAGGGTGCTGATTGCATCAGTTTCTTAAAGTTTGGAAACCTAGAAATAAGATCGGATTCTTCCCAATTTATCTTTTTCGGTAACTTCTTTTGTATTTCTGACAAAGGTTTGTCGTCACTATTTGACTCTTCGTCAGTGTCACTATCACCAATTATGAAAGTCCGTCCTTGATTTTTAATTTTCGCCATAGCTTCAGCTTGAAGCTGTCGACCATCCAGCTTGTTGATGTCGCGGCAGAACTCTTTATTGCCGCTATCTTTAGCACTTTCAGCACCATCATCTGGAGGAGTGATAAAAACATCAAAAACCCAAAAATCCTCGTCTTCTCTATTATTTGAATGAGTTCTGTAGTTGTGAATGGTCTGAAATTAGTTCCAATTAGTTTCCATAGTTCCAATATTGGAAGTTTTGGGAAAAAGTTTTTTATACTTATCGTATTTATTATTATAGATAATATATGGAAATGTGTCAAGAATTGTTAGGGCAATAAACACAACGTAAAATAATAGATAATATTAGTTTAAATATAGAAAATGTCACTTACCTTTTACTAGCCATTTTTTACAACAGAAATTTCTAAATTTTTCTACATGTTAAAGGCACAACAATTCATCAAACAATCACTGTCACTAATTAACGTGTTGCTGCGTGCAAAATCACGTTGTGATTCACAAGAAAGTGTGCAGGGGAGAAAAACGGATGTGTTCCATTATTGGAACTGTGGACATAAATGTTAAATAATTAAGTATTAGACTCAACAAACTGTGCCATTTAATCATGAAAGATTTTTACCAATACTCTAAATACTTAAAAAAATGAATCATTTACTTACTTATAACTTGCAAAGATTCATCCAAACCCTCATTGATAATCGTAAAATTCGCTAATCGACGACGTTGATTCGCACCTCTCGTTTGATTCACCAGAGATCGTCTCCACTGCTTTCCTGGCTTCAAAATCAACGGTTTTTCATCCAACAATGTCAAATTAACAATCGCTTCCTTCATATTTGCATCAAATAAACTACAATCTTTACCAATTTTATTTGATTCTTCATCCTTTTCATCACACAATGCTACAGAATTTATTGGAGAAGGTGATGTTGATTTAGATGATGAAGCTTTAGAACTTAATTTCTTTGAATTCGATTTCGCTTTTGTTAATTCTATTAAGGACAACATCTTCTCAAAGTCATTTTGAGTCAAATTAACAACTGGTTCTTTTTTATTTCTTAACATGTTATCAGTCTCATTGATAGTTTTTGAAGGATTTGTTGAGGATGATGTTGATTCCACAGAATTTGTATTTAATTGTAAATATTTATTGGATGAGTTTGATGAATTTTGAGATGTCATTAAGTTACTTGAAGATTTTTCTGATTCATTAAAATTACTTGGTGATTTAGATCTTAAAAAATATGAATGTGGTGAAACAGATCTTGATGAATCTTGAGAAGATTTGTTTGAATTTGATCTTGAATTAGAAGATGCTATATGTGATGATTTACTTGAAGATCTTAAGAAATATAAATGTGTTGGTTCAGATTTTCTTGTTGATATAGCATTTTTTGACTTACTTCTAGTTGAAATTGACTCATTTGTTGAAGACAAATCAATTAATAATGAATTAGAGGCTGATTGAACAATTTTTGGTTTATCTAAACTCATATTTTCTTGTGTTGATTCATTTCTTATTACATCACTAGAAAATACATCTTTTGATAATGTATATTCAGATTTTGACTTCTCAACATCCATTTGACTCAAATTAACAGAACATTTTTCAGAATCATTTTGAAGTTCTTTTGAGATAACACCAGATATCTCACTATCATCTATTACAATAATCGATTGAGAATCAAATTTTTTACATTTAATGTTTTCAAATTGCTGGAATTGTTCCTTAACTCCATGTCTTGTATACCTCGGTTTTAGGAATGGTTTTGAACTTATGGGTGATAAAATACTACTGCTTATACTATTATCAACTACTTCATTACGATTGAAAACGTTTGGGGTACTTATATAAATTAAATTTGGTTTCTTATTTAATTCACTGTTCGACATAACCTCACATATTTCATTATTCGAAACACTTTTTTCATACTTATTAGTGGGGTCTTCAGATTGCTTCTCTCTGTATGATCTTAGGAGCTTATCAAAAGTGTCCTCAGTGGAAACATGCAATGAATCGCATGATAAAATAGCCCGTTCTATTGATTCTGTAATTTTTAAATCTTTAATTTTTATTGTATTTTTCCTATTTGAAATAGGATTGTCTTTAACGACAGACTTATTCTTTCCAGGTTTATAAGTTTTTATTGGAGCCATTATATTCTTTGAAATAAATTCTTAACTAAAAGATTTTTAAAAACATTTAGATTTCGCTTAAATTTGACAGTTCAAATGTCAATATAATACCAACGTTTAAACTTGATTGTTATTTGTGATTAGAACAATAAAATTATTGAATATATGTTAGATATTAGATTCAAAATCATCTATTTTAATTAATTAATTTAATTACTCATTTTTATATTAAATTATAAACTAAGTAATCACAGATTTTGGTTACTTTTATCACCAACATTACAAAAATAAAAAATCTCAACTTCTTATCAAAATTTTTTGGATTATTTAAACATATTTATTTAGTTTATTTAAAAAAGTTAATACTTAGGATATTTCTTTTCTTTATATCTAACTTTATTAATTAATTAACCATCAAAAATATAAAAATCATTGACGTACAAAAATGACGTTTATATGACAGAAATCTAATTTATAAAAAAATGTTTATTTCTTAAGGTTAATTTCTTAATATCTAACAATCTTCCCAAAATGCATCGAAAAAAGAGTAATCCAGGTACTAATTATTCAATTACTCCAAAATAAGCAAAAGAATTATCCTAAAAGATCACTTTGTTTAATAAAAACCAATGCTAACCTCACTTTTTTCCTCATAACCTAACTTTTTATTCTTTTTTAGATAATTCATCTTCCGTGGGACTCGCCAGGTCGTCTTTAAGCGTTTCCGCCGTCGATTATTACTTGAACCTCCCAATAACATGTCCACCATCACCTGCAATGTCTTCTATAACTCTAACTCCAGGTCGGTCAAGGAACATCGATCAAGACATGGAAGCTTTGAGAGTGTCCAGACAAGATAATCCATTTATTAAGCAGATAATTGCCAGTCGCGAAAGCTTAGCTGATAATTTGGACGATAACGAATCGGATAATGCAAATTTGGTATCAAGGGAATTAAATATTGATTTGGAAGTGGACCCATTTTCTTTACCAGAAATGCATGAACATATGATTAGAAGTCCTCCCCCTGCTTCTTGGCCTCGTAGTCCTAATAGGAAGGTTTTTAGCTTTCCTGATGGTGATGGTGAAGATGAGGAATGTTTAGAAGTTGAAGTTGTAAGTTATTATACACCATAAAATTCGTTTTAATAATTTTTTTTTACTTAGAGGAAGAATAAAGGTTGTGGAAAGATGGAATTGAAAAATAAATACACTAGTTGGGATGGTTTGGAAAGTATTTCGCCATTAAGATCGTTTGGAGCTGGTTTGAGATCTTCAGATGAGGACGAAGTGAGATTAATGTCAACAAGCGAAGATTAAAACGATTTTGAAATGGTATTAAGATCATGTTATAATGATTTTATGATTAGAATAGCGATGAAAAAAGACGTTTTTAAAAAAAGAATTAAGGTTAGGTTTGACATTCCATAATTTAAAATCATTTTTGTTAAAATTTCGATGTTTAAAAGATTTTAGATGAAATTATGAGTGATGTTGAAGATTTTTACACATTTTTAAAAATTTTAATTAAACAAATAGCAAAATTTACAGTGTAATTTCGATAATTTTATCGCGATTTGAGAAAAATTATGCTTATAAAAGAAGAATGATATTCTTAGATGAACTAACCAAACTTTTAAACTTATTCTAGTCGATTGTGGTTGTCACTATTAATTAATTAATTAAGGAAGTACTTATATTTTCGTTTTAATTACTTAATTAGCCATGAAACTAATAGAAACTAAATGAATATAAATAATTAAAATAAGTCTAATTGCATTTATTATTAGAGTTTATTTTTGTGTTAAATAAAGAGAATGTTTTATTGATTACTTAAATTAGTTAAGTATCTAAAAGAGCTTCATACAGTTGTGATTATTATTAAAAGAATTATACTTAACACTAATTAATGGAATTGAGAAAAAGATTATTATAATCAAACAACAAATATATGTTAATTTATATTGTATTAAGGAATTAATCTTTGGCCTATTTTATTAATGATTTTTTTTAATCAGCAATAATAAGATAAGTTTTGTGATAACTTTATTATTTTTTAATTTAATTTATGTTGATTCTTCGTTGGCACTTATTTAATTTATATTCTTATTCGTTGTTTGTGATAAGTCTCAGGTATTTTGTTCCCATGTTAATGTTTTAAGTAAAGAATTATTGATTTAGAGCATTTGCCTACAATTTTAATTAGTTTATATTAGTTAAAGTAGGAAATGTTATTATTGTTGTTGTTGTATCAGTTTAGCTAATTGTAAGTGTAAAAATGCATGTGTAAATGTTAAAAGAAAAATTTTGTGATTATATGAATTAATTAAACGAGTCATTTAACAATAAAATAAACAATCTTTGTTTATTAACCCATTTACGGCCTAGATAGAAACTAATTGTAGATTTTAGAAAAAAATTACTGTGTTGCAAAAAAATATGTTAACTAAGACAACTCAAAACATTTTATATTGTTATAGTAACAGATTACAAGTAATTTGGTCATATTTGATTACTTGTCGTATTGTTCATAGAAGAATTTATGAACAATTGTAAAATAAACCTACTATTGTTACTGTTAGATGCTATACACTAGTGAATTTCGATACATTTTATTGTTCTTTAATGTTTTAATCCTAAGAGATCACTTGTAAAGTCGATACGAAGTAATTTTACAAAAATTCTCGATATAAGATAACCTCAATTTAAATTTTTCAAAATTATTTATTTAAATGTTTATCTACTAGGTTCAAACCTATTGAAACCGATAATCTTAACTTAGTTAACAAAGAAAATAATCAATATTTGTATGGAATAATGAAATTTGGATGAAAATTTACAAAATTAATTTGAACATATTGGAAAATTTATCGTTGAAATCAGAAGAAAATGAATAGATATTTGAAAATTGATTTAAAAGAGCATCAAAATTACGAAATATCATGCATAATTATAAATAATTTAAAAATTTTTAAATAATAATTTGACAAATTAAATTAGAGATATTTCAAATGTCAAAGTTGGTAACATTGAAAAAACTAAAGTACAAATTTCAAACCGATGAATTTAACCAATCAGGAGACGTTATTTGAAAATTAAACATTCGAAAAACGGAATTTTTCAACAATGATGGTGGTTTGTGTTATCTGAAGAGACGCACGCATTTATTTTGCTCTCCAAAAAAAAATTAAATCTACGTTTAACGAGTGTGAAAAACAAATCCGTTCCTGTCCAACCACTGAAGAAAACAATCGATCCTGTTCCTATCGAAGAAACTAATTTGGTCCTGTATTTGAAATATCTGTTCCTGTTCACAACCATTGAAGACAACAATTGAACCCGTTCCTGATCGAAGAAAACAATTGGTTCCGGTTCAAACTCATTTTTTGGTACGTTTTTTACTTTTCCGTACTTTTTATTTATTTTTAACGGCTTATTTGGGCAATTTTACATCGATAAAAGAAAGATTGTCGATTTTTAAACGACATGTAGGTATATCCTTCAATTATACCTAAGTTTACAATTTCCCTAATTAATTTAATTTTTGACGAGTTTAAAACCATAACTATATCCGAGTTGATAAACATTAATTCGTATGAACTAATCTAGAGAATTTGTTTCATATATTCAGTAAATTCAGTTAATTTTGTCGACATTTCACCTTAAGCTGTGTTTGTGTTTGTCTGGACAGTGTTTCCAGAACCTGCTTTTGACCCTGAGATATAATTCGATAATTCTATTTGAATATTTAAATTTTTCAATTTTAATAAAAATCAACTTATTGTTAAATTTACTAATGTCATTATTATTAAAATAATTGAAAAACAAAGAAAATAAAAGAAGAGTTTATTTTGACGCTGCCAACGTGGGGCTATTTTCCAACGAACATTAAAAAAAACATTAAAATATGTAATAGTATATTAAAAAACAAGTTTCGTAAGACACGTTTGAAATGCACGAATTCAAGTTGAAAAACGAGTGGCGAAGCCACGAGTTTTTTAATGAATGAGTGCTTTAAGTCTTATGAAACGTGTTTTTTATGCTATTTTTTGTAATTCGCGTTTTTATCCTTTTTTTTTACAAAAATAAAATAAATTTTGACAATGTAGGGAAATAGGTATGTAGCAGTTGGTAACACCGTAACACTTGAAAATAGAAATTTGAATTGACAATTAGAAACTGTCAAAACACAAAATGTATTCACCTGACAAAAATGTTTCATGTACACCTCCCAAAATAAGAGAAATTGCTCAGAGTTCAATGTCCTCATCATTGTGGACCTTGTATTCGATGCTAAGAACGTGTTTAAACATCCATAGACAAAAATTGTCACATTGACAACTAGAAAAATTAATGACCCAATGTCACCAACTTGAACTGGTTCCATAAAATGTTACTAAAATCTCATTACAGCATCGGATGCTGTAAGGAGTCTCATTACAGCACCCGTTTGAATACTGTTATAGCTTGCATTACCGTAGCGAATTACAAAAATGTACTTTACACTTCGCACCAATATAAATTTTATCCACATTTATCTTATAGTTGGAAATTCATCAAGTTCTGATTTTTCTCTTGATGTGTTTGCCTTTTCATATGGAGCAAATTGAAATAAATATCAATCCAAACTCTAAAGGACTGCTCCATCTTCGTATAGGCTGAATGCATACATGCACAGGAAAAAATATAGAGTAAAAATCAACTCTAAAACATGGTTCAGATCGGTCCAATTTATTTAGAGTTATTTTTTTGCACTATATAGTGTAGGTGAATAGATTAAAAATTTACACTAGTGAGAAGATGGTGTTTATTAAATAGTGTAAAATCGTTACTCTATAACAGTGTATTATATGTAATCTAACTAGATGTTGTCGTGACTCTAATTAGATACATTTCTAATCTAATCAGTGTAAATTATTAAAAATTCGCTCTAATTTTACTTTATTAATTGACAAAATATCACTAAATAGTGTGTATCTTCCACTTATTAGAGTTAATTTTTAATAGGAGTGGAGTATTTTTAGGGAAGTCTTACGTTTGTAATAAAAATCAAAATTATAAAATATTTGTTTTTATTTTTACTTGTAATATATTGTTATAACTTAAATTTAAAAAAATTAAATTCTGTTTATATACATATATAACATATATAATACTTAATTCATTTTAAAGTTTCCACCGAGTCACCATCAAAACTGCATCTAATGAGTCTTTTATAAGTTTCCTATATGTATAGTTGCACCAAGTTGCACATACTTACCAATCTTCACAAGGAACTTATATGTAAAATCTTCCGGAAGTTCCACTAATTTCACATCATGAATGTTTTATTTTGGTAAACATAATTAAAATAAAAATAATCGTTCTTTCTTTCTATATCGCGTTAATCAGGTCTCGAGACGTTTTCGAGTTCCGACTCGTTTAGTTAGATGACCGTTAAAATTTAGCTGTATCACACCACATGTTGATCACGTGGTACCGACGAGTAATCCCGAGCAAAATCCCGAAGGAAAAGTACACGTCTAGTGTAAAATTTAATGTTTTATACACTGTTGGACATAATTCACGAGCACACCCTATATAATCTGAACGCGTGAAGATAAATCCATAATATTTGCGGAGCACAAAAGTTTACTGTAGACGAGTTTATTCATTGAGTTTCGAGTTGTTCCGTCGCGGCATTGTTGACTGAGCCGCCCTTCTAAGTGGAACATTCCGTCGTTATGGAGACCGAAGTGGATGGAAAATACCGGTCGTTTTTAGTGTGGTGTGAGGGACCACATTGTTATCGTACTCTGTGCGCAATGGATGGGCGATCGCGTTACTTAAGCGAGTTTGAGCGAGGAATGTTTGTGCGTATGCACATTGAGGGTGTATCGTTCTGTGAAATTGCGCGTCGTTATCGGCAGTGCAACGGGCATGGTAAGAATGATCTGAGGTAGGACATAGGTACCTTCAGTCGCGGCCGGGACGGCCCTGCGCGTCCCCAGCACACGAGGATCGCGTTCTTCTGCTCAGCACTTTAGCGTCGTGTGTGTCCTCCTCAAGGCAACTTGGAGCTGTTTGGCCACCGGCAGGGGAAGGCCCACTCACTACGCGAACTGTACGGCGGCGTTTGATAGATAGTGGACTGCACGCGCGTCGTGCGATACAGCGGATTCCAATAACACCCGAGCACCGCAGCATACGTCACGAGTGGGTCGACGCTAGGCATTAGTAGGTTGCCCAGTAGAGGGACATTTTGTTTTCCGACGAATCAAGATTCGAATTGAGCACCGGTGATGCGCGAATTTTAGTTCGTCGGAGCCGTGATGATTGTCTACTCGAGCAGTATGTGCAAGAACGCCCTATCGATCGACAACCGAGCATTATGGTATGGGGTGCGATTACATGGTGGACGTACACGTCTGCTGCGTGTATAGCAGACCATGACGGGTCAAGGATACGTAGATGAGGTGCTACGGTCCGTTGTACTTCCCTGCGTTCGGCGGCTCCCAGGTCTGCTATACATGCACGACAACGTACGGCAGCACATCGGGCGTGTTGTACAGACCTTTGTGGTAGAGCACCATATACGAATGCTTCCATGGCTAGCTCGGTTTGCGCATCTGAATCCGATCGAACATGTTTGGGACATGACTGGTCGGAGACTTCTACGTTATCCGGCTTCCTCGGCTAACGTTGAGGAGCTATGGAGGCGAGTTGAGGTGGCATGGTTGGCTATCCCTCTCGCTACAATATTGCGACTTATAGACTCCATGCCACGTCGTGTAGCGATGGTACGCGAAGCTCACGGGGGATACTCTCGCTATTGATGTTTCTCCTCCCAGCA